TGTCTGAATCTATACCGGAAGGTCGCTCTATGGCGCATACACAAACAGTGGTTATCCATTAAGTGATAACGATGTATGAATCTCTACCGAAGGTCGCTCTATGGCGTACACAAACAGTGGTTATCCATTAAGTGATAACGATGTCTGAATCTATACCGGAAGGTCGCTCTATGGCGTACACAAACAGTGGTTATCCATTAAGTGATAACGATGTATGAATCTATACGGGAAGGTCGCTCTATGGCGTACACAAACAGTGGTTATCCATTAAGTGATAACGATGTCTGAATCTATACCGGAAGGTCGCCTCTATGGCGCATTACACAAACAGTGGTTATCCATTAAGTGATAACGATGTATGAATCTATACGGAAGGTCGCTCTATATGGCGATTACAAACAGTGGTTATCCATTAAGTGATAACGATGTCTGAATCTATACCGGAAGGTCGCCTCTATGGCGCATTACACAAACAGTGGTTATCCATTAAGTGATAACGATGTATGAATCTCTACCGGAAGGTCGGCTCTATAAGTGCATTACAAACAGTGGTTATCCATTAAGTGATAACGATGTCTGAATCTCTACCGAAGGTCGCCGCTCTATGGCTGCATACAAACAGTGGTTATCCATTAAGTGATAACGATGTATGAATCTATACGGGAAGGTCGCTCTATGGCGTACACAAACAGTGGTTATCCATTAAGTGATAACGATGTATGAATCTATACCGAAGGTCGGCTCTGTATGCACACAAACAGTGGTTATCCATTAAGTGATAACGATGTATGAATCTATACCGGAGAAGGTCGCCTTCTATGGCGCATTACAGAAACAGTGGTTATCCATTAAGGATAACGATGTATGAATCTATACCGGAAGGTCGCTCTGTATGCATGCATTACAAAACAGTGGTTATCCATTAAGTGATAACGATGTATGAATCTATACCGAAGGTCAGCTCTATATCGCGTACACAAACAGTGGTTATCCATTAAGTGATAACGATGTATGAATCTATACCGGAAGGTCGCTCTATGGCGCATTACAAACAGTGGTTATCCATTAAGTGATAACGAAGGTGTATGAATCTATACCGAAGGTCGCTATACGGAAGTATGCGGCGCATACACAAACAGTGGTTATCCATTAAGTGATAACGATGTATGAATCTATACCGGAAGGTCGCTCTTCTACAAACATTACACAAACAGTGGTTATCCATTAAGTGATAACGATGTATGAATCTATACCGGAAGGTCGCTTCTATGGCGCATTACAAAACAGTGGTTATCCATTAAGTGATAACGATGTATGAATCTATACGAAGGTCGGAAGGTCGCTGGTTATCTATGGCGACACAAACAGTGGTTATCCATTAAGTGATAACGATGTATGAATCTATACCGGAAGGTCGCCGGCATGGCATTACACAAACAGTGGTTATCCATTAAGTGATAACGATGTATGAATCTATACCGGAAGGTCGCTTCTATGGCGCATACACAAACAGTGGTTATCCATTAAGTGATAACGATGTATGAATCTATACCGGAAGGTCGCTCTATGGCGCATTACAAACAGTGGTTATCCATTAAGTGATAACGATGTATGAATCTATACCGAAGGTCGCTTCTATGGCACACAAAACAGTGGTTATCCATTAAGTGATAACGATGTATGAATCTATACCGAAGGTCGCCTATGTGCATTACACAAACAGTGGTTATCCATTAAGTGATAACGATGTCTGAATCTATACCGAAGGTCGCTTCTATGGCGCATTACACAAACAGTGGTTATCCATTAAGTGATAACGATGTATGAATCTATACCGGAAGGTCGCTCTATGGCGCATTACACAAACAGTGGTTATCCATTAAGTGATAACGATGTCTGAATCTATACCGGAAGGTCGCTCTATGCGATGCATTACAAACAGTGGTTATCCATTAAGTGATAACGATGTCTGAATCTCTACCGAAGGTCGCCTATGGTACACAAACACAAAACAGTGGTTATCCATTAAGTGATAACGATGTCTGAATCTATACCGAAGGTCGCTTCTATGGCGCATTACACAAACAGTGGTTATCCATTAAGTGATAACGATCTATACCGTCTGAATCTATACCATTATGAAGGTCGCTGAATCTATGAAGGTCGCTCTATGGCTGCGACAAAACAGTGGTTATCCATTAAGTGATAACGATGTCTGAATCTATACCGGAAGGTCGCCTATGGCGCATTACAAACAGTGGTTATCCATTAAGTGATAACGATGTCTGAATCTATACCGAAGGTCGCCTATGGCGCATCTAATAAACAGTGGTTATCCATTAAGTGATAACGATGTCTGAATCTATACCGAAGGTCGCTTCTATGGCGCATTAATAAACAGTGGTTATCCATTAAGTGATAACGATGTCTGAATCTATACCGTGGTTAAGGTCGCTGAATCTATACCGGCGCTCTATTTACACAAACAGTGGTTATCCATTAAGTGATAACGATGTCTGAATCTATACCGAAGGTCGCCTCTATGGCGCATACACCAAACAGTGGTTATCCATTAAGTGATAACGATGTCTGAATCTATACCGGAAGGTCGCTCTATGGCATTACACAAACAGTGGTTATCCATTAAGTGATAACGATGTCTGAATCTATACCGGAAGGTCGCCGGCGGCGTACATGGCGCATAACAAACAGTGGTTATCCATTAAGTGATAACGATGTCTGAATCTATACCGAAGGTCGCTTCTATGGCGCGTTACACAAACAGTGGTTATCCATTAAGGATAACGATGTCTGAATCTATACCGGAAGGTCGCTTCTATGGCGCACACAAACAGTGGTTATCCATTAAGTGATAACGATGTCTGAATCTATACCGAAGGTCGCTTCTATGCATGCATACACAAACAGTGGTTATCCATTAAGTGATAACGATGTATGAATCTATACCGGAAGGTCGCTTCTATGGCGCATTACCAAACAGTGGTTATCCATTAAGTGATAACGATGTCTGAATCTATACCGAAGGTCGCCTCTATGGCGCATGGTTACAAACAGTGGTTATCCATTAAGTGATAACGATGTATGAATCTATACCGGAAGGTCGCCTATGGCGCATACACAAACAGTGGTTATCCATTAAGTGATAACGATGTATGAATCTATACCGGAAGGTTATCCATTGGCGCTTCTATGGCGCATACACAAACAGTGGTTATCCATTAAGTGATAACGATGTATGAATCTATACCGAAGGTCGCTTCTATGGCGCATTACAAACAGTGGTTATCCATTAAGTGATAACGATGTCTGAATCTATACCGAAAGGTCGCCTCCATGGCATGGCGCATTAACAAACAGTGGTTATCCATTAAGTGATAACGATGTCTGAATCTATACCGGAAGGACGTCTGAATCTCTACCGAAGGTCGCATGGCATAACAAACAGTGGTTATCCATTAAGTGATAACGATGTATGAATCTATACCGAAGGTCGCTCTATGGCGCATTAATAAACAGTGGTTATCCATTAAGTGATAACGATGTATGAATCTATACCGAAGGTCGCTTCTATGGCGCATTACAAACAGTGGTTATCCATTAAGTGATAACGATGTATGAATCTATACGGAAGGTCGCTTCTATGGCGCATTAAAAAACAGTGGTTATCCATTAAGTGATAACGATGTATGAATCTATACCGAAGGTCGCCTCTATATGCATTACACAAACAGTGGTTATCCATTAAGTGATAACGATGTATGAATCTATACCGGAAGGTCGCCTCATGGCGCATTACAAACAGTGGTTATCCATTAAGTGATAACGATGTATGAATCTATACCGAAGGTCGCCTATGGCGCATTACAAACAGTGGTTATCCATTAAGGATAACGATGTCTCGAATCTATACCGAAGGTCGCTCTATGGCGCATTACAAACAGTGGTTATCCATTAAGTGATAACGATGTCGAATCTATACCGAAGGTCGCTTCTATAAGCATACACAAACAGTGGTTATCCATTAAGTGATAACGATGTATGAATCTATACCGGAAGGTCGCTCTATGGCGTACACAAACAGTGGTTATCCATTAAGTGATAAAGATGTATGAATCTATACCGGAAGGTCGCTCTATGGCGTACACAAACAGTGGTTATCCATTAAGTCGTATGCTTCATTACCAGTCAAATACTGATTGAAGCTCCTTAAATGTCTTCATCGTGGTACAACCTTCACTCAAAAAGTTAGAAAATTAAAATCTTATTCGAGTCAAGTGCAAGAAACAACTGGGTAACTGATGTAAAATAAATCTTCTGAAATGGTGATGCAACATCTACTGCCCATTCAGTATTGTCACCTCAGTCATACTTCTAGAACATTATTATTACCAAGCATGGTTTTATACAAGTGAGGTGAGGTGAAATTGGGTTTAACGTCGTTCTTGAGAATATTTCGCTCATATGACGATGTGCATGCGTGTGTATGTGTATGTGCGGCTGCTTGTACTAGCCCAGACTTAAGCTGGTTTAATAGTGCTAGCCCACTGAGATACCATGCCGCAGTGAAGCCGCAGTGAAGCATGAATACCCCACTCAGACACATTATACTGACTCCGAGCCGACCAATCCTTGTTGAACCCAGTAATGCCGAGCGCCAAGCAGAGACCAACAAGTACCATATTTTCTTTTGGTATGACGCGGTCGGGGATCGAACGCCACCTTCCACTCTCCAGGCGGACGCTCTAACCACTGCACCACGGAGGTTTATACAAGTGGCACACACAAACATGTTAGACTTTAACAACTCTATACAGGGATTAAGATGTACAGAGGGCTGACAAACACATTCCAGGACACACAACTGATGATCATACTGCTGTCATTACCACAGAGGTGGCCCTGCGGACAGGGTGCATTACCAGGCAGCATCAGGGTTTGATTCCCAATCATCATACAAATCATCACAAATGAAAACAAAACACTGAGTACTTAGTTTATTAAAATAAAAAGGTGAACTGGTGATTAACATGATTTAAATCACTGGAAACAAAGACAACATGAAATAAGCAAACATAAATAATGTGACATTCCATCTACGTGTACATGTCCAACACGACTGCTGCACCATCAGAGGCGATGGCGGCACTGCCACTACAGTATGTTTGGCACTACAGACGGACTTGTTGTTGGACTGTCACGGATCACAATGTTCAGGGTACTGGAAAGGCTTGGTACATCATGTATCATGTATCATGTATTAAATAGCGGATGCTGCATCTCACAATCACACAGGGAGCAATACAAATGACAGCTACAAAATGGCACCAACATTGTCAAACATTTTGTTCTGGACTTTGGCACTGAAATTTTCTAAAATTTAATCAGGATAAAGTAGGACTCACATACAACTGAGAAAAAGAGGAAATATGAAGGGTCTGGGTAGAACCGGCTTTCAAGAGAATTTTCGGTGCGCTGGTCATGGACGGAGCGGCAGTGATGGAGGTGCTAGACTTTCCCCTTCAGTAAAACCACAAGCACTAGTTGCTGAGAAACCAATTTTCACAGAACTAAAGGACTGAAAGCAGCCACAAAAATATCCTGGCAGACCTAAGGGGGCAAACTCTAAAACTAAATGTGGGGGAAATGTGCCACCCTTTTGAAGATACTGGTACAATGTATGTTCTTGGAAATTGTACAGATGGAATGTGATGCTGAATATATCAACTACTGATCAGCCCAGCATCGTGAACCCTGCGGACATCATCTCCTGGTGTTGGAACAAGGGACACAACTCCTCCTGGGTTCCTCCCAGTATACAGTACAACCTACTTATTGCTACCGGATACAGGACTCAACACTTGTAGTTATCATGAGTGGTTGGAAACCAGTCGGCACACTTTGTTTCAATAAAACTCCAGAATTCAGATGGTCCTTCTATTACTTGAAACTCTTAAGGTAGTTCAATTCAGTTAAATCTTCAGGAGAATCCATTGTAAAATTGTGAGAAATATTTCAGAAAAAGTTAAATGAAAGAAGCAAAAGCCACAAAAAACAATTGAAGTTATAACAGTCTTTACTTATAACATTGTACATCCAATCAACAATTTTATATGCAAATTTTCACCCAGCAATGTCTGTTTAGTGTTACATACTGCTAGCAAAATTATATTTGTAAAGATGAAATTGTAAATCCTAATGCACATTTATTGTTAGATTAATGTTACAAAATGAGGTATAAATAGTCAACTTTAATCAAGTCTGTATAAAACTTGACAAGGGTTTGGTCATCAGGTATAATTCATTGGGCAAGTCATTGAGTAGAATTATTATGTTATCCCCAACACAAGCGATGTTTGTGACATCAGCAATACCATAGCTGTCTTTGGGACCATGACGTAGAGTTCTTTCACAATGGATAAAATCACAGGAAACTCACTTTGACATGAAACATTGTTCATGATCTAATTCACTTTCTTCTGCGGCTGCTTGTTGAGTGTCTTGCGAAGACGCTCCACATCGTTGATGAGGTTGCGGTTGAGGATGGTGCCTGCGCACAACATTCCCCCGAGGACGGCACTGACGAAGCCGCACATGTACACATCTTGGCCTGCACAACAAACAACTTCAGTATTACTACTACCTATTCACATGGAAAGATTGATCAAACAAGAATCTACGCTAAATGGCTGATAAGTTCACCAGATACAACCTGCTATAGAGTGTCTAGCATCGAGCCTACATCTACATGACATCCATCCTACATCAACATTACATCTAGCCTAAATCTATATGACATCTAGCCCACATCTGGACTACATCTACATGACATCTAGCCTACATCTACATGACATCTAGCCTAAATCTACATAACATCTGGACGACATCTGGACTACATCTACATGACATCTAGCCTACATCTACATGACATCTAGCCCACATCTGGACTACATCTACATGACATCCAGCCTACATCTACATGACATCTAGCCCACATCTGGACTACATCTACATGACATCCAGCCTACATCTACATGACATCTAGCTCACATCTGGACTACATCTACATGGCATCTAGCCCACATCTAGCCTACATCTACATGACATCCATCCTACATCAACATTACATCTAGCCTACATCTACATGACATCTAGCCCACATCTGGACTACATCTACATGACATCCAGCCTACATCTACATGACATCTAGCCCACATCTGGACTACATCTACACAACACCTAGTCTACATCTACACAACATCCAGCCTACATCAACAGGACATCTAGCCTACATGTACATGACATATAGCCGACATCTACATAGTATCTAGCCTACATGTACATGACATCTAGCCGACATCTAGACTACATCTACATGACATTTAGCCTACATCTACATGACATCTAGTCTACATCTAGCCTACATCTACATGACATCTAGCCTACATCTACATGACATCTAGCCTACATCTGCATGATGTCTAGCCTACATCTACATGACATCTAGCCTACATCTGCATGACATCTTGTCTATGTCTAGCCTACATCTACATGACACCTAGCCTACATCTACACATCTAGCCTACATCTAGCTGACATCTACATGACATCTGAACTACATCTACAAGACATCTAGCCTACATCTACATGACACCTAGCCTACATCTACATGACACCTAGCCTACATCTACATGAATCTAGCCTAAATCTACATGACATCTAGCCTACATCTACATGACATCTAGTAACTGCCAACATGACATCTACATCACATCTAGCCTACATCTACATGACATCTAGCCTACATCTACTTGACATCTAGCCTACATCTACTTGACATCTAGCCTACATCTACTTGACACCTAGCCTACATCTACATGTCATCTAGCCTACATCTACATGACAGCTAGCCTACATCTACATGACATCTAGTAACTGCCAACATGACTTCTACATGACATCTTGTCTCCTCCTGCATGACACTGAGTGATGTGTACCTGTCATATAGAGGCCTGGTATTCCCGTGGCTGGCCGCATGTTGATTGACGTGTCTGCAGAGAGGCGCTCACTCCTGTGATCCATGCCGTACATCTCCCCAAGGGGAGCTCCGAGGTAGTGCAGGTTGCTCACTGGGGTTCCCACCTCCATGTACTCTAGCTGGACACACACACAGGCAGAATTAGTGGAAACTCTCTCATTGTAATAAAAATATTTAAACACATCACTGTGAGTTAAGAAGACATAAACCTGAAAACCACTTTTGTATTGTTTGACGTATATATTACCCATCCATCCATCCATCCATCCATCCATCCATCCACCCACCCACCCACCCATCCATCCATCCACCCACCCACCCACCCATCCATCCATCCACCCATCCATCCATCCATCCATCCATCCATCCATCCATCCATCCACGCACCCATCCATCCATCCATCCATCCACCCACCCACCCATCCATCCATCCACCCACCCACCCATCGATCCATCCATCCATCCATCCATCCACCCACCCACCCATCATCCATCCATCCATCCATCCATCCATCCATCCATCCATTTGTTTGCGTAGGGGTTAATGTGTGTAACTCTCCTGTCTATACACACATGAACACACACGACACAGAAACAAACACACAGCACACACACCTCACAAACACACGACACAGAAACAAACACACACACACAACACAACAAAACGGAAACAAACACACACAACACACACACAAAACACAACACACACAAAACACACCTCACAAACACACACGACACACAAACACACACAACACACAAACACAACATACAGTAGTAATAGAGGGGGGGTACTACAGCAGATGCGGCTTAGAGGCTTATTTGTGGAAATTAAACCCCCCAGCCCCCCTTAAAAAAATATCGAGAACCATCCCTCAATCGCCAAGTTCAAATAAAAAAACAGCAAAAGCCCTCTTTGGCCACAACTCACGGAGGGAGAAATTGGTGTTTTGACCAGAGACCCGCCTGGTCCCTGGTCTGATCATGTTTGTGGTGCACTGGTATTTTCTCCCGTGGGGTTGTGGTCGACTTCGCTTCGAACCTCGGTGACAGAGATGCGCAACTCTGTACCTTGATCGTACCCAGCAGTCGTTCGACTGAGCCACAGAGGACCTGATAGCCGAGTGCTCGGTTTAACGGGTCTGTCCTGAGATTGCATCATCCTCTTAAACCAGGCTCCGTCTATAGTAGCACAAAGGATGTCTGAAACCCATCTTGCACTATATATATATAGTTTACAAAATAATATTTAATTGGTCCTCCGTCAATCGTTGATGAATATACTTTAAGCTGATGAGGTACACGTGTTCGGGTGCATAAATTTTATCTCCAATAAAAACCTCAACTCCCTCGAGGCTTGTGGTGGAAGCTGTTCCTAGTTGTACATAAATATGACAGCGTCTACCCCAACGTCGCCCGTACATGTGGGAAGACCTCGAGAAAGATCCGTTCATCGACAACGCTTTGAGCACCGTCAGCTGCGAAATGTTTCATCGATACGGGATGCTGCTGGCTCCACTGACCGCGGCCATCATCACGGCGAAGCATTGCCGAGTTAAAGAAAAAAACATAAACCATACTATACAAGATGGAGGAACAACAACCACCACCAACGGAACCTGTCCCAGAACAACCACCAACGACGGAGGAGGAACCGATTAAGACTGTCACCCGAAAAAAGAATCCCCAAAAAGTAGCCGCCTATCGCAAAGGCGGGCTGGCGAAACAGCAGAAAAAAAACGTGAATGACCGCATGGCTGTACGAATTCAAACCGGCAGCAGCAAGACCGGCAGTAACACTGGCAGCACCTCAATTAGAAGTAAATCCTCATATCATTATATAATTTTATTTTTTTAAATAAATAAAAAATATATACACACAATGTCCAACCCCGATGGAAAAACGTTCGTCAACGACGCCTATCACGCCGCCTTGATCAGCGGGCTGGCCATAGGCTATGCTCGATTGAGCAAAATGATCACCAAACAACCGGCACCCAAACTCGATTTCAACCTGCAAGACATGGGCATGCTCGTGTTCGACTTGGGACTGGCGATGGCCACCAAAGCGATGCTCGTCAAGCAAGGCATCATTCCGGAAAACATATTGAAATAAAAAAACAATAACTTACTTATAAAGATGGCCACGATCGCGATCATGGTCGGCGGGGCTATCATCAACGCCCTGGCCTTTTCCAGCAATTACCTTTTTTCCCTATTACGAACGTCCAACACGGCCGAAATTGAAGCGGAACGGAAACGGCACGATGTGGCCGTGGAGAAATTACAAGCCGCACAAGCCGACACGAAAACCACGCCCTTCGAATGTTCAAGGACGTCGCACATTGATATAGCAATCATGACAACCGTCGGCGAACTCAAAGCGATGGCAAAAAACGTGGATTGGTGGGTTATTCACGCACGAGGAAAGCCCAACTGGCCACCTTGCTGGAAGACACCGAGCCGGTCGAGTTGAGATTTGTGTCGACGGACCACGCCGTGGGTAAGTATCTGAGAGGCTGGAAAATGGTGATCGATTCTAATATCGATACCCATAAAATCAAACTCTTAATAGACAGTAAACTTCACGAAGAATTAAATTATTTGAAAAGCATCAAATACCAGTTGACCCTTAAAATGTTGCTTCAAAAACCTCAGACGGACGGTAGCATCGAGCACCTCGAGCCTATTTCCAAGGCAAGCAGGAAGTCGTACTTCCGACCGACTCTATCCCTTCGACCCTCGATACGTTGTTGCAACACGTACAAGAATCATTGGAAAAATTTACCCATAGAGGCTCCGGATGGGTGGTGGACAAAATCGATACCATCTACCGAAACGCGGCCGAAAAGTTTCTCACGTTCTTACAACGCGAAGAGAGAAACATCAGGGAAGCTTTGCCGGACCCTGCCCCCATGGATATGACGCTGGAGGATAAACTCGCACACGAAAAGGCTCAGGATTGCTACGTATGCGACTAACCCCTGAATGTGGATGTCGTGAGAGATCATTGCCACATCACCAGTCGATACCGAGGTGCCATCCATAAGACATGCAACCGCCAGCTTAGAATCGATAACCAAAACCCTCCACATCCCTGTAGTGTTTCACAATTTGAGAGGGTACGATGCTCACTTGATCATGCAGGCCATCTCGAACATCGAGGGCAAGTTAATGTGCATCCCCAACAACATGGAAAAATACATCTCGTTCTCGCTCAACGGTCTGAGATTTATCGATAGTGCTCAGTTCCTCCTGCCATCGCTCGATAGTTTGGTCAAAGCCAACGATACCTTCGCCATCACCGATCGATACACCTATGCGGTGACTTGACCTCTGATGCTACGGAAGGGCATGTACCCGTATACGAGTACATGGACGATTGGCCCAAGTTCGATGAGACCCAACTACTCCCCATCGACTGCTTTTACAGTGGCTTAACCAAGTCCACCATCTCCCAGGACGATTACGACCACGCCCAGAACGTGTGGGAGAAACTGGGCTGTCGACATTTGGGTGATTATCACAACCTCTACTTGAAAACGGATGTCCTGCTACAGGCCGACGTGTTCGAGACGTTCAGAACAACGTGTTTGAAACAGTATCAACTCGACCCTGCCTGGTACTACACCAGCCCCGGTCTCTCATGGGATGCGCTCTTGAAGAAAACCAGAGTTAAACTGGAATTGCTCACGGATTACGATATGCACCTGTTCGTCGAGAAAGGCATGCATGGTGGGATTTCTATGGTCTCCAAATGGTACGCGAAAGCCAACAACAAATACGTGGAAAGCTACAACTCGAGCAAGCCCACAAACCACCTCCTGTATCTCGATGCCAACAACCTGTACGGCTGGGCCATGAGCCAGTCTCTACCTACGGGCGGGTTGGCATGGTTGGACGATGAGATCCATATCATGAGCATCGCGCCGGATTCAAACGAAGGCTACATCCTCGGAGTGGACTGCGGCTATCCGCTGGCTCCCGAACGGGTGGCGGTGAACCGAGACTGGATGTCGGACTATCAACAAACGTTGCTCGGGAAAAATAAGCTGGCCAACGTGGAAAAAGTCGTTCCGAACTTGATGCGCAAGACCAAGTACATGCTGCACTATCGATCGGAATCTGCAACTGTACTTGTCGCTGGGCATGAAGCTGACCAAAATACGTCGGGTGCTGCAATTCGATCAAAGTCCCTGGATGGAACCGTACATTCGGCTGAACACAGAGCTGTGAAAAAAGGCCACCAGGGATTTCGAGAAAAACCTCTACAAACTGATGAACAATTCGGTGTTCGGCAAAACCATGGAAAACTTGAGAAAACGGGAGACGGTCAAACTCATGCGATCTCACGAGGAAGAAAAACTCAGGAAACTCACAGCCAGCCCGGCATTCAACCGGAGCAAGCTATTTGATAACGACTTGGTAGCGCAACACATGAACAAAAGCCACATCAAGCTCAACCGACCTGTCTACGTGGGGATGAGCGTTCTCGACCTCTCCAAACATCTCATGTACAATTTCTACTACAACGAGTTAAAAAATCAATACGGCGATTGATGTGAAGTGCTGTACACGGACACGGATTCACTGCACATGGAAATTTGTACCGAGGACGTGTACGAGGACATGGCGAAAGGGGACAAGAAATACCACATCAACACACCCTCTTCAAACAGGCTCTCTTCGATAAACGCACGTCCAAACACCCCATGAACGCATTGAGAAGCGACAAACACAACATCTACAGCATCACTCTCAACAAAACGTCGCTGTCGCCCATGGATACCAAACGATGGCTTGCGAACGATGGCATCCACACTTATAGCTATGAATACCAACAGTTGACCTCGACACGTTGGGGTTTCTGAGACCCCCAATAAAGGAAATTCCACTTGATGCGTCGAGACAATTGAATGAACGATAGCATGTATACATCATGGAGAAGGTTTACTACAGCCCTCGGGGTTACTGGAAAGGTGTGAGCACCATCCCGGAGCTAGCCAAAGCCGCTCGCCATCTGGCAAGTGTACCTGCTTGCTCCCTGATACATCCCGAGAAGAAAGTTTGACATTTCCATACCCAATCGTACCTATCAAGCCGACCTCCTGTTTCTCTCATACGACAGGTTGAGAAACAAAACGTACAAGTACGCCCTGACCGTCGTGGACGTTGCCAGTCGCTACAAGGAAGCAGAGCCGTTAACGACCAAAGATTCGAGTCAAGTCGCTAAGGCCTTAGAACGTATCTACAAACGCAGTCGCTTGACCTGGCCGACCGAATTACAAGTCGATCCCGGGCGCGAAAGTTCATGGGAGCCGTGTCAAGGCTGTTATCGAAGCATAAAGTCCAGGTGAGACGAGGCATGGCCGGAGCTCACCGAAGCCAAGCCACTGTCGAAAGATTCAACAGGACTTTAGCCGAGCGATTGTTCGGATATCAGTATGCCCAAGAGATGGCCAACCCAGAAAAACGATCGACGGAATGGGTCATACGCTAAACCGATCAACAAAGAAGTCACTCGACTCCTCGATAAAAGACCCGTCGAAGCCATTTGAATTAAATCCGTGACGATCGAAATGGCTGCGCCATCGCGTCACGGTCAAGAGAAAAAATTACCAGACCGGGACGTCGTGAGGTATCTGTACCAGCCCCGTGAACTCGAAGGAGGGGATACCACGTCGACCAAGTGGACATCAAAGACAACGAACCGAAGCTGTATTACTTGCAAGACAGACTGGGTAGGGGATTCGTCCGAGAGGAATTACAAATTGTCCCTCACGACACGGTATTACCCCCAAAATAAAATAAAATAAAAAATGTTCTGTCTGGGATTCGAACGCTAAAACTCTAGGTCTGAAGTCCGGCACGTTCCCTTCAGACCGGCAGTCTCACTCTGTCAGGGACGGTGCATTCAAGCTATATATAGCTCATACGCTTTGCGAGCTTATGTAGCCGGATTCTAAATTAGCCGATTGTGGCTTCTAAACATGTTTTCAGCGTCCATCGACGCATGCATCGTGATCAGCGTGGTCTAGACTACCTAAGAGCATCGTGATTGTATTTTATTACACCTTGATTCGAGGTGAAAAACCACCATGAGGCGAGCAAAACTGGTTCTGCGCTACTGTAGCTAGTATAGACGGAGCCCAGCTCAAGATAAATACTGGATTGTGGCTTCTACAATTTTTTTCACCGTTCGTCGACTAATGTATCGTATTCAGCGTTCTTCAAACTACCTGCGGTCATCGTGTTTGTATGTTATGAGACATGGATTCGACGTGAAATAGCCACCAAACGTGCACGAAGTGGAATGACGGGTTTCAGACATCCTTTGTGCTACTATAGACGGAGCCCGGTTTAAGAGGATGATGCAATCTCAGGACAGACCTGTTAAACCGAGCACTCGGCTATCAGGTCCTCTGTGGCTCAGTCGAACGACTGCTGGGTACGATCAAGGTACAGAGTTGCGCATCTCTGTCACCGAGGTTCGAAGCCTACCGTTCGAAAAACAAAGACACGGAGCTCTCATGGGAGAGCGCAGTCGACCACAACCCGGGAGAAAATACCAGTGCACCACAAACATGATCAGACCAGGGACCAAGCGGGTCTCTGGTCAAAACACCAATTTCTCCCTCCGTGGGTTGTGGCCACAGAGGGCTTTTGCTATTTTTTTTTATTTGAACTTGCACATCGAAGGATGGCTCTCAATATTTTTTTAAGGGGGGCTGGGGGGTTTAATTCCCACAAATAAACCTCTAAGCCGCATCTGCGGTAGTACCCCCCCTCTATTACTACTCATACAAACACAACGCACACACACACACACACAAACACCCACTCACCTGGCCATCCAGCTGTGGGAAGAGGGAGACAGTCTGCTCCCACATCTTTCGTCCAATGGTCATCTTCAAGTCCTCGTATCGCTCGCCGCGGTGACGCAAACGCTCATCCTTCCACTCGGAGAACCACTCCCACTTGGCGATGGTGATCAGCAGCACCACACTCTTACCTGGACAAACATCATCAGTCATGACACACTGATATAATAACATGTACGAAGATAGGTACTTGATAGGGTTACCTCCCTTTACACAGGTAACTGGAGAAGATCTTGTCAATGTTAAACTCTGTGAACCTGAAACCTGGGAGGGGCAAACTCAGCTGGAATGTGGGAGGGGCAGACTCACCTGATGTCAGACTCACCTGGAATGTGGAAGGGGCAGACTCACCTGATGTCAGACTCACCTGGAATGTGGTAGGGGCAGACTCACCTGATGTCAGACTCACCTGGAATGTGGGAGGGGCAGACTCATCTGGAATGTGGGACGGGCAGACTCACCTGGAATGTGGGACAGGCAGACTCACCTGATGTCAGACTCACCTGGAATGTGAGATCGGCAGACTCACCTGGAAACCGTGTATCCCACGAGGGGTCTTTAGCTGCTGGGAAGGAGATGTAGATGAGGGGCACTTCAGAATTTACAGCATCTTCAACACTCTGATTCACGAAGTCTTTGATTGAGCCGTCTATGTCAGTGCTGTGATAGCATGGATATTGTTATGGTCACATGTACTCGGCTATGGATCCATATATGGGCAAGGGGATAAGTCTGAATTAACAAAACATAATTTAAGCAGAAAGTCAGGGGGTCTGACTGATGTTAACAGTCAACAGTTGGATGATCCTCAAATACGTCACGGTATGGCTTAAATATTGTCGAAGTGATGTTAAATATTAACTCATTCACTCAAATGCAAATACCATCAAAGAAAATGTCAAGGACACGAGCACCATTAACGCTGCATTGATATAACTATCAAATGACCTTGACCTACAATGTGAAGGACAGTGGCTGACCTTGTGTACGCCCAGTAGTTGCTGGCCTTCATCTTTAGGTCGGAGGGGCTGCCTGACAGGCCACAGAAGGTTGTGATACAGGACACTCCTGGCCCAAGCTGGTCCACCATGTTATAGAAACCTGCGGAACACACGTGCCAATCAGTCACATCCACACAATTATGTGCTGTGTGAGATATTCAACCCTTACACTACTGTCTTTGTTTTGATCAACATTCAACCCTTATACTACTGACTTTGTTTTGATCAACATTCAACCCTTATACTACAGTCTTTTGTTTTGATCAATATTAAATCCTTATGCTACTGTCTTTGTTTTGATCAACATTCAACCCTTATACTACTGACTTTGTTTTGATCAACATTCAACCCTTATACGACAGTCTTTTGTTTTGATCAACATTCAACCCTTACACTACTGTCTTTGTTTTGATCAATATTAAACCCTTACACTATTGTCTTTGTTTTGATCAAATACTTGATGGAGAAATGAGTTTTCCGATCTAAATCCACTTGTGAGAGAAGACAGACTGATGTGGTATCATCCGCCATGATATTGCTGGAATATTGCTAAAAGTGGCATAAAACTAAACTCACTCACTCTCTCTCATTTGAATAATCACTAATCATTCTAATATGCTATATCATTTGAATGACGGGGAGAGATTTATGGATATATAACATCTTTATTATTAGCATTTTGGTGTAGCTACTAACGCCCTGGACATGTTCAGGGTCGTACCATGGGTGGGCCTCGGAGTCAAAGCCACAGGCATGGCGGTGAACAGTAGTAAAAGCAACGAGCCATGCCATGATATGCTGTTTGTGCCAAGGAAGTTGGACAGAGTTCTTATCATGTTGATGGTTGAAGAAACTTGAGATAAAATACTTCACTGACATTTCCATATGATTGGTTTGTTGTTTTACGCCGCACTCAGCAATATTCCAGCCCAATGGCGGCTGTCTGTAAATAATCAGGTCCGGACTAGACAAACCAGTCATCAATAGCACGAGCATCGATCGACGCAATTGTGATACAATGACATGTGTCAACCAAGTCAGCGAGCCTGACAACCCAATCCCGTCTTACAACAAGCATGGGAAGCTGAAGACCAATTCTAACCCAGATCTTCACGGGTTAGCAGCATTAGTTTCATTCCTGACATTTCTGTTTTTCATCACTTACAGGATTTCTCTGCAATCTCTTTAGGGATCAGCGTCTTGAACGTGTTGCGTGCTCCAGCGTCAGAGATCACCTGTCTGGCATATATGTCCACGTCTCCCGATGCACTGCTCTTGACACGAACACCTTCATAGAAATAACGAAGCGAGCACATGAGTGAGTGTCCAAGACGAAAATCAAGAATCAAATATGTTAAGATGAACAAGTACTTGACCGTAGCTGTTTCTCTCAGATGATCAGACAGCCCAAACTTATTTATGCCACCGTGGATCAAGGACCTTTTCAAAATTAAATGTTCTTGAAGCTTTACATTTCTGTGGCAGTTAGCCGTATTGACTTTGTCCACAATCGCAAGGACGAGAAAGAAAAAAGGTGATGTCAGCCATTTCACTGATCTTGAGAAGTTGAAAAATAGTATCACAATGCTTTCCATAAAGTGACAAAATATCATTTCCACTTGGGCAAATATTAGCCATCCTTATCTACTGCAAACCTTCTGTACTCACTGAACCAACCAACTCTGCATGGAGTTTCAGTATCATCCAAGGGAGACAACTCTGCAGACTCCCCCTACACAGGTTTGATCCTATAAACTAACTGACCCAAATCATAATCACCTTTATAGGTAAATACTAGACAAACATGCGGAATTTGCATGTGAAATCTTACCAATAGCTCTGCCTTTGTCATTGAAGAGGATGTTAGTGACCGGAGCGTTGACCAGAACCTTGCTGCCATACCTCTCAATAGCTCGGACCATGTGAAGAGAGATCTCACTGGTGCCGCCCTCGGGGTAGTACGCCCCTTTGCGATAATGGTCCACAAGCATGGCGTGCATAGCAAAGGGGGCCTCACTCGGCACAAGTCCTGCACACAAAGACAAATCAGACAAAGGGGACCTCACTCAGCACAAGTTCAAAATTAAATTCACAAATCCAGAATAAAACATTTTTCTCTCTACTGACAAATGAATTGTCATGATAACAATGACTCAAAGTAAATCTCCACCACAGGAGAGAAGGCGACTTTACCGTAGTCTCCGAGGATATAGGACAGGACGGCCTGCAGCTCCTTGTTCGACGTTATACCATCAAGGACGCTCTTCAGGGATCGGCTCGCATACTTGAAGAAGCCACCGAAGAACAAGTTGAATAGTCCTGTTGCCACTAGTAACCGTGCAAGCCACTTTGGCAGCATCTTCAGAACTACTGGCCCGGCATTCCCTTTCTGTGCTGCCTGGAGAAACAGCAAATTACTGACATAACAAGTTCATGAGATTCATTATTTCAGGTTCATTACCTAAACATGCTAATTGGTCTTCCTGTACAGAGTTGAATAGTGTTGTACAAGGTAATACACCTTGATGACTGCCCTGTATAATGTCATACAGTTAATTACCTTGATGGCGACCCTGTATACTGTCATACAGTGTCGTACAATGTATTACTTTGATGGCGACCCTGTATACTGCATTGTATACTGTCATACAGTGTCATACAATGTATTATCTTGATGGCTGCCCTGTATACTGTCATACAGTGTCATACACTTTATTACATTGACTGCAGCCCTGTATACGGTCATACAGTGTCATACAGTTAATTACCTTCATGGCTGCCCTGTATACTGTCATACAGTGTCATACAGTTTATTACCTTGACGGCAGCCCGGTACACTGTCATACAGTTTATTACCTTAACGGCAGCCCGGTACTTGTTAATGGCTTCCTTCTCTTCAGGGAACAGAGCATGTAGGTTGTTGTAGTACTGCTCACGTCCCGTCTTCATGGGGTACGTCTTTTGCTTCCCGGGCGGACCTAGCGCCACCTGTAGACAACACACACAGACAGAGACTTAATGCTGAAATGAACTGTACTCTAGTATTAGCACTGTGCTAGATTGATACATATGTATAACGAGGGCTAACCAGGTACCAAACCCACCAACATTTCTAGCACACTGAAATACAGCATCTCTGTACAATCAGGAAACTTCAACATGAAAGGTTGTGTTTGAGAAACATACAGAATATTTGGGAGGACATTTTGACACGGTATACCGACACCGTACCAGATATTGCCTTCAGAGCAAGTGGTACTGCATTCTATTTAAGTCCTTTTAGGAATCTCTATCTAACCGAGAAAGTATAAGCGTTTAATGACTCGTTCAACATTATTATATCACAACATGTCAGTATGAGAAGAAAGTAAAATATGATGCAAGTCTGAGACATTTTCCACTTTGATGAACACATGTTGCTGATGTCCACATAGGCTGTGATGGGCATCGGAAACCGATGTCGACCAGGTCAGGATGAAACACACATTTAGCCAAAGTCCTGTCCACTTTGTCTTTTCCCACCTGCACATTGTCCTTGGAATGCCGTCCAACTGCCAATATTATAGGGCTCTCTAAGACGCAGATAAACCAATTCTGAGTTTACCGACTCCCTGACACACACCACGGCCACGTCTGACTCCAACTCACCACATCAAATTCATCGTCCAGCGGCACCCACAACAGCTGTCCCTCAGTCAGCTGGTCAACGATGGTGGAGAACATGCTGTGCCCGTCCATGTCCCCCACATAATGGATACCTACACACAGACAAGAAACACGGTGTTTCAACCGGAACATAACAACATAGGGGATATTGGAGACAAGCTGGATGGTGGAGAACATGCTGTGCCCGTCCATGTCCCCCACATAATGGATACCTACACACAGACAAGAAACACGGTGTTTCAACCGGATCATGACAACATAGGGGATATTGGAGACAAGCTGGATGGTGGAGAACATGCTGTGCCCGTCCATGTCCCCCACATAATGGATACCTACACACAGACAAGAAACACGGTGTTTCAACCGGAACATGACAACATAGGGGATATTGGAGACAAGCTGGATGGTGGAGAACATGCTGTGCCCGTCCATGTCCCCTACATAATGGATACCTACACACAGACAAGAAACACGGTGTTACAACCTGAACATGACAACATAGGGGACATTGGAGACAAGCTGGTTCTTAGTGCCGTGAAGGTTCGGGTTAGAATATTGATCTTCAGCAGGGCCGTAGTTAACTTTTCTTAATAATGGGGGCACTATCAAGGTTAAAAGAGTGTTATATCTGCTCCCCACACCCCACCCCACCCCTAACTATGGCCCTGTTCAACAACCCATGCTTGTCGTAAGAGGCGACTAACGGGATCGGGTGGTCAGGCTTGCTGACTGACACATGTCATCGGTTCCCAACTGCGCAGATCAATGCTCATGCTGTTGATCACTGGATTGTCTGGTCCAGACACAATTATTTACAGACCGCTACCATATAACTGGAATATTGCCGAGTGCAGCGTAAAACTAGACTCACTCACTCTTTAGTTCATGATAAAACACATAAAATCAGCACCAGCTACAATCTGAAGTGTGGAGGTTTCTAGAGGCAGATATCAGTTGTATGTGAGTGAGTTGGGCTTGACCTCACGACTTTGGTAAAACATGGGAGATTGGAACACATGTACGGTATACAAATTAGGGTGAACTTCAAACCAGCACGTTATTACCCAGTCCAAGGGACACAACTCTAACAGTGAATTGTAGCGCCTAAAATGGGCAAGCAAAAAATTGCCCTACTCACTCCAGCAATCCCCTCCCCCAACACACCACATCCCCCAACACACCACATCCACCTTGTAAATGTTTACAGTGACTCAGTCAGTGAGTCAGAGAGTGAGTGAGTGCGTGACTGCATGAGTGAGTGAGTGAGTGAGTGAGTGCAAGAGTGAGTTAGTGAGTCAGTCAGTCAGTGAGACAGAGAGTGAGTGAGGTTTTACGCTGCTATAAGCATCATTCCAGCAACTTCATGGTGTGAGACACCACATTGTTCCGGGTGAGAGATATCAAAGCAGAAACTTCTTCTGAGACAAGCAAACACTATAACTACAAGGCTACTGATCCGTGTGAACAAAACAATATTCAGATGAAATCTTCCATGTGAGGCTGCTGGGGTATGACTGCAGCATTGATTCAGACACTTCATGACTTTCCTTGAGTAATATTATTATTAAACTCCGTCAGCTACACACCATTCACAATAGCTACTGAAGATAAGGTGCCCAACCTTATGGCAATACATTCATGAATGGTTTATAGAGCTGAGGTTAGGTGGGACTGCTCAAGCACGGTTATGTAAACAACTTCTGTGTTGTGGTGTCAAAACCGTCCAAAGTCCGCCTGTACATCACAAGTTGTTTATCGCTACTCCGAGGTTGTAGCTGACAGGTCCAAAGTCCAAACTCACATTTCTTTTGTCACCTGCATTAACATGTAATCAGTACAACATTGGAATCTATTGATCCACATAAATTACAGGGAAAACTGTAAACCATTATATACTAACCTAGAATACTGATTCATGCCCAATCTAAAACACAAAATATTCAAACAGTTAAACATGATCTGTCTGTCTCTCTGTCCCCATGTAACCACTAGCACACACACACAAGCACACACACACAAGCACATGTAAACTGACCTGTATCGAACTCGAACCCCTTCTCCCTGAACGTGTGACAGCATCCCCCAGCCTGGTCATGCTGCTCCAGCACCAACACCCGCTTCCCCGCCTTCACCAACAGCACCGCCGCAGACAACCCGCCAACACCGCTGCCGATGATCACTGCGTCTAACTTCTCCGGAACTTTGGTCGTCTTAAATCCTAAAAGAGACATCATATCACACACATCACTCAACACTGTATTCCATATTTGCAACATTCAACACTATAACACAACCTTGTAAATAAAACATGTCAAACTATACATCCATAGCTCAATATCGTATCTCAACACTGTTACATTGGAATGGAATCATATCAACAATGTTACATTGTAATGGAACCATATCAACAATGTTACAACCAATGGGCCATCCAGTATCAGTGAGTAATTAAACACATCACAGTTCCTCTTCAACTTGTTTTCTTAAGAAACTAAAGATTTCTCCAATTATACATTCAGAAATCACTGGACAGAGGATTGAAAGATTAGAACAAGAAATACAGTTAAGGAAACAGATGAAGGTGTGTTTCACTCCAGTTGTGTGTGGAAAGCCACAATACAACACATTAGCAGATTAGCGAAGTACAAGAGTCTAGAAACAATGTCACTGTTATGTTATGTGATCTGCTATTCCTGCCTGGTATATGACAGAAAATTAGCAAGGATCCTATCTAGGAAACTTCCACATTTGGTTAAAAATTGGTGTTTTTTTAGTCCATATTTCAATCAATTCTATGATATTTTAACATTGCACTTTCATCGTATTGATATTCATTCCAATGTAAGAATATAGAACTAAGCTCATCCCCCACAGCTCCTGGTATTGACATGGTCAGTAGAGCACTGGCTATCTCTTCACAACCAATCAATTCTTAGTTAGCATTGGTTAGTTGAACTTTAAATTTCTGTGTGTGAATTATAAATGACTTTTGCTTGATTTGGGGTGAAATACGGGACATATCCCTGAATAAGGTAATCAGAACCATCAAGAGTAACAAGGTAATCCAACCTAGGGAAGGATATTTACTCCACCATGTTATCTAACACACGTAATGGATATACCGGTAATGATTTAATGAACTGATGAATTTGTCCTGGGTGGTCTGGGTTCCAGGTAACTTTGTCTAGCATTACCCATTATTACATCTGTCACAGACTCAGATGTGGATGTTGGAGCCGGAGATATCTCATGTAACTGACCGTCACACTACAGATGCTTGAAATTGCATAGACATACCACTTAATCTCTTTCAACTCTGTACATCTCAATCAAAACATACCACTTAATCTCTTTCAACTCTGTACATCTCAATCAAAACATACCACATAATCTCTTTCAACTCTGTACATCTCAATCAAAATATACCACATAATCCCCTTGATCTCTGTACATATCAAAACATACCACTTAATCCCCTTGATCTCTGTACATCTCAATCTTTAATCCATCTCAGTGGCCTCCTGAACATACTATATTATGGTATATATGTAGCTTGTGATCATATTCTGCCATATAACTTGATGAAGGGGCAAGAAGTAGCCCAGAAACATCATCTTGTAAATAATAAAGAATCCATACCATAAGTTGTTATGTCACATTACAGCCCCAGTCTCAGAGGTCAGTGTGAATAACATTATAGTGTCAGAGGTCAGTGTGAATAACATTACAGTATGAGAGGTTAGGGGGAATAATATCACGCTAACCTAGGTCAGTTTGTATGACATTAAAGTATGACAGGTCAGTCAGGTTACTATCAGGTTCACGTTTCAGAAACATGGGTAGTGTTGATAACCTATAACCCAGGCCTGTCGTCGGCTGTTCACGTTTTGCAGATAAACTGCAGTATACTTTGAATGGGTGGAGAAACCGGCTGGAACAAGCCTTGTTTGTTTACACTTCACTAGAACAATGTTGGTCACCTAAGGTCAAAATTACCAGATTATAAACCATTTTCTTTAAAATAATAATCATCATTATAACGATGATGCTATAAATTTAAAGGTCACATAAACCCTAGGGGGTACAAATACATAAATCACTAACTGGCATCGTTATAAATGAAACCCCGTCATTAAAACTACTCATTTCGACCTTTAATTGACTTAAATCGACCTTTTTGACAACAGTGCACAATTCTCACCCGCGAACGAAATTTCAACCAATCAGAGCGGCGCGCCTCTGTGACGTCATATGAGGAATAGCTTTGAGAGCCGATGCAGAATTCATCTACATTTTAGGGGGTAAATTATCGTGTTTACAGGCTTGTATAAACCTGAAATCGTGACAATTGTTGTGGAAAATGAAAGCTATATGTTCTCACAATCTACTGTCATTTAATTTTGTCTCCTGCTTTGCCCTAGTTTCGAGTTACAACTTGTTTTCATAGACGATTCTGTCAAAATCGATTGGTGTCGTTAGGCCCTATTTGTATAATGACTGATCCAAATTGATCCCATTTCTGTGTTGTTTTACCTCGATATTTAATCATGTCATGTAAAAATCTGTTTGTATTCTCAAAACAGTGTCGGCCCATAAGTTTTCACATGCAATACAGCAATTAATACTCCTCGTTGTAACCCGTGTTAGGTGGTATAAACCTACACATGTTATTTGTCATCATTCACTTGATGGTCAGTTAATGAATTTATAACAGGTATAATTAGTGGTAACACCACTTAGATTACCGACAAAGGTTCCCATTTGGCATTTCTTGTGTCTGGAGTAAATATTCAACATTATAAACATCGATCAAAGGATTAACCGATAACACGCTGATTGATTAATTACTTTTATCTTACACAGCGAATTGTCAAAAGGTAGTGTTTATGTATGTAGATTTACTAATCTATACTGAATACACTCTGTCGTGGTCGGTGTCTCGTAAAAACAACGTCCTTCTTTCAAAGGATTAACCGGCAATACATTGATTGATTGCCCATTATTGGCTAACTAAATTACTGTTTTTAAAGAAAGGCGGACATTATGCAATTAGTTGCCAGATGTGCTATCTTGGGTGACCAATGAGACTATACACCAATACCTGAAAAGATTTATCCCTTTTTCGTATATTAAACTGTTAAAAGACACATAATTTGGAACAGTTTTGTGGATATTGATGGATAAATTCCTCGAACAAGGTAATGGCCTGATATTGTTCCTATAACTTTAATCTGTTTTAATTTTAATATTTGCATTTTGTTTTTATTCATTTGTCGTAGCATTCAACAGAATCATTGTTTTCTCCGTGAAGTGTAATGAGACAGACAACATGCACTAGGGTGGGTGTGCGAATTATGATTCACATTGGCAAACTATAAAATGTCTAGATATTACAGTTCTGTTATAAATTCACTATAAGTATCAGCAGATCGTCTGCTTTTTATTTAGTTTCAAAATGCATACAAGTTTGATAATAAACTAATGAGGATTATAAGACCAAATATAAAGACGCACATTGACTAGTATCTACATACTAGTGAGTGGACATTAACCATTGGAATGTAGCAAGAAATTTATCGGCAAGAGTATTGTCACTTCGACCCCACCTCGCTTCGTGGAAGAAATCGTTATGTTATAAGTTGTGTCATGCAAAATCCGTTTGGTTATGATTCCAATACATATTTAACAACGAGTAGAAAGTAGTCTTGATTTTCTAACTTCATGTAAACAAACTATAATCTCCTTAATTCTAACAGATTTTTATTTTTTTAAATGGCGGCGCTTCGTCGGGAACATCCGCCAGTCTGAGGATAAATGCTATTTAGGTTTGTTTTCACCGAAAGTTACAAAATCAAAACTACTTTCTACTGGTAGTAAAATATGTATTTTATTGATGGCCAATAGGATTTTGCATGACATAGCGTATAACATGACAATTTCTCTCCTGGCAGCGAGGTGGGTGTCAATATAATACTACTTACAGTATTATTGTTACTTCGACCACAACCTCACTTCGAGGAAGAAATCGTTAAGTTACAAGTTGTGTCATAGAAAATCTTTATGGTCATCAATCATATGCATATTTTACTACAACTAGTAAGTAGTTTTGATTCTTTAACTTCCGTGAAGCGATCTGAACACAAGTAAGATATCGCTTCAGGCTTCCACAACGCCAAGCCGCACTCACAAACATAACCCATTTCGCATCTAACCGCGGGTCCTGTGGAAATCTGTGCATGGGGACACCATCGCCTCGACCCCTAGGAGCAATTGACGACAAAGCAACGATTCGGCATGTTGTCGTTGATGTCGAGAAATCATCAAAATGATGAGCGTGCTACACATTTTCTATACAACTAACTGAAAATCGTTCCTCATATGACGTCACTGCAGTGCTCTGGCGACAGAGTTACGTAACCTGTCTGTGGTTTCGTTGGCGGGCGAGAGGGAAGCAGGCGACTTTTTGGACACTTTTAATCGCTCGGTATTAATTAACCACAAGTTTTAAAAGAATAAATTTGGTGTTCCGCATAAGACTAACCACAAATCTTTCATATGTAATGGTTAAAAGAGTAACAAAAAACAAAGTTTAGTGGTTCTTTAACATATTTTTCAGAGGTGGCAGTGATAGGCTTGTGTGTGACCTTGTGTGCATGTGGCTGCTTATACTATGTATTCTAGATAAGAGTGACGTCAGTTCTATACTGATAGCCCACTGAGATACCATGCTGAGCTGTAACATGGATACCCCACTTCACTACTGTATACCGATTCAAAGCTGAAGAGTCAGACTTTTGGGTTGTAATCTTAATGTCAAATACCCGTTGGGGTGCAGCAGAAACCACATTTTAACATCTTTTGGTATGACAAAGCCAGCGTTTAAACCTCAGAATTTTGGCTCCCTATATCTACAACACAATACCGACATTCATATATTGTTTTAAATTACCAGTGCAAGGTTTCCAAGATGACTGTCAGTAAAACGGATTCCATAAAGCATTAACCAAGTTACACATAGCATTGCTCTTTCCTTTGTTCCACGGTACTTTGGGCGGCATTGAACAATGTGACAAGCATGAAAACCTTCTTTTGGAATTATTATGACCCAGGAAATCTTGATAAAAATGTGTCACCTTTACCTGCATGTATAAAATTCTGAAATGAGTTGTATGGATTCAGCAAGAACTGACTGAGAAACTACAAAGTGTCCTATGTTCTACTTGCATCACACTATTTCTGTTAATATTCAGCAATAACCATGATAACAGTCATAAGTCTGTACAGACAAACTTGCAGGCCTTGGACATTAATCTGTAAATCTTCAGTTCAGTAAAAATCTTGTGAAAATGCTCACCTCATACTTAATCAGCGAAAACATCAAAACTAGGAAATCACTCTATGAAACAACAGATCATCAGTCAGGGAATCATGGGTACGGAGTTGGCTTGCTTTTGTTTCATCACTCATTCACTGTAATTTGTGTAAAGAATTTTATCAAACACTGACCGATTTTTTTGTTGTTTCATTTGATCTAGTTATATGAGACCATAACAAAGTATTAGCTCGATCACAATAACCTGTTGCTCTTTCCTTTGTTCAGCCTACTAATACTAGACATCCAGCTTCTAGTCATGCCACTCAAAGAAATATTTCCTCATCAATATAATAATTTAGTGATATCGGCAGAAGTCTTACCAACTGGAGTCTTTACCTTGCAAAGAATTTTTTCTTAACCAAATTAATACCATAATCTTTTAACTCGTCTTGTGTTTTCAAAAGATATTCTGTCTTACGCTAAACACTACATACCACCAGGACCGTCATTTGTGAGATCAATAACAGTGGGAACCTGCACAAGTGCTGATGTGAATATAATAAGGAGAGGAGCACCCGAGGCTGCACTACGTTCAGCTACTTCAACTTACTCTGTTTGAGGACTGCGTCTCTTGCCTTGTGGTCCAGCATAAGCGGCTCCCGTCGTCGACGGACATCTGAAGCGAGGGGATTTCTTCCTGGTTTGGCACCGCCAAACATCACCGATAAAATATATATGAAGACATATATAAGAAACAGCCATACCACTATGGATGGGTTTTTAAAAAAATACTCAACGAGCACATCAAGAGAAAATATATTCATCTTGATTCTCGACCAGGTAGCAACTAGACAGACCCTACACTAGACAGCTAGCTTATCCCTCACAATTGATATGTGGTAGCATGCCTTCACATTCCGTTAGAGTTATCTCCCCGGAAACACTCTTCAGAGTACAACGTCAGCTCTGAACATAGCTTTACTTCATGCTCAGTGACAACAGTGTGATACTGACCAAACTATATCACTGCGTGGAGCATGACATACGTTGTTAAACGTTTTGTTGATGTTTCCTAAAATGTTTCTTATGAAAGAGTATCTGTAATGTCTTAATCACGAAAAGACATGGCAGATGACGGCGAATTAGCCAAGTTTAGGAATGAGTGGAAACATGAATTGTCGGGATCCAGTATTTCAGGAAAATCAAAGAACGACGGACCACTACAGAGTCACTCTAACCAATCTGAGAAATCTAATACAGCACTTCCGTCTGCTGGAATACTGTTGCAGAAGTCAAAACCACATTTGTATGAACCAGCTGAAGAGGCCCCTGACCACGGGGGAGGTTCAGACCAACAAGAAACTGAAGAACAAACATACTATCCATTTAGAATTTTGGGGAAGTTATTAAATGAGGTTTCTAACACAACAGAGGATCCTGAAGATGTCAGTAAATCTGAACGCAAAAGAAAATATTTTGTGGAAGAAATAGGCAAAAATGACGGAAATGTGACTTTAAAGAAGAGGCATTGTGATTTGACCAATTCTGCTGGCCAGAAAGGTCCTCACATACCAAAAGTTGCCCAATCTCACACTAAAACTCCTGCGCAAACAAGTGAACGATATTTGGATTTATTTATAGCAGACCTGGTAAATATACACAGGTTGCCTCATTTTCTTTGCAATCACGTATTACATGATGGGATTCACATGATCAGGGTGGGCATCATGGTTAAAAGGTTCAATCCTGACGGATTCCCAACACAAGTAAATTGTGTGATGCCTATTTCTGTTGTCTCTACTGCGATAGTACTGGAAAATTGCTAAAGGTGGCATAAAACCATAGTGGCATACTCATTCTGTCACTATCCCATGATCATGACAGACGGCGCGTAAACGGCCAATATTGGAGCAATGTTGAGAAAACCATTTGATAAAACATATGAAAGTTGGACAGTGCTTCAATGGCATGTGTCCATGTCCAGTCTCAATGTTGGCACTGTAGAAGCTCTGAAGCTCTATGCAGGTGATTCTTAATAATACCAGAGACCACATAGTAATATTTATCATATGGTCTCTGAAATGCATATTGCAGGTTCTGCATGCTTTAAGTTGGGTGTCCTTCACTTTGATGGACATGATAACACTGTACATGCATAGAAGTTCTTAGGGGGAGGTGGGATAGCGTACTGGTTGAAGTGTCTGCTCGTCATGGTGAGACCCGGGTTTGATTCCCACATGGGTACAATGTGTGAAGCCCATTTCTGATGTCGGAATGTGAACCTGATAGTCACAGCAGTGGTCAAGCTGGGTCAAGCAAGGGGGGCACACAAACTGACCTGTGACCTGTACTGACACAAACTGACCTGTGATCTGTAATGACACACAAACTGACCTGTAACCTTTATTGACACATAGACTGACCTGTAATCTTTATTGACACACAGACTGAACTGTAGCCTGTATATTCGTGTAGAGCCACACAAACTGACCTGTGATCTGTAATGGCACACAAATTGAACTAACTCTGACACTGTAATGTTCCCATTTCATTGGAATATTGCTAAAAGTGTCGTAACTCCTCACTCACTAGAAGTTCTTAGCCTCCTTAAGACAAGGATTTCATTGTTAGTATTGAGAAAACCAACCTCTAATACCTTGAACTTTGAGTGCATTTCTTATCAGAACAGAAATGTTTGATATATTTAAAATGCGATCAACGATTTGAATATATGTTATGATTTACACAACCATATTTGTTTTCAACACAAAGGACTTGCAATGAAGACTGTTTGCATCCAGTATGAATTTGTGTGTATACTGTGACCCTGTAGAGATATGAATGCAAAACTATTACATGTTCCCTTATATTTTATTATCATTAGAGATGGTCGTTGTTCAACTGCTTTAGTATAATCACCCTCTCTCACTTCATCCATTTGTCATTTACAGGATGACATAAATGAAATTCCTTTCTTTGACGTGTCATTACCCCGAGAAGTGGCTGTACAGATATTCAAGCATTTGGACATGGAAGACCTATGTCATTGTGCTCAGGTAACTATGGTAACAGTATTCTTACTTCCTTAATTTATCTCCTCTTTCAGTGTATGTGTTATAGAGCAGGTGAAGCATCTGTCTGTGAATGTAGCCTGCAGTATGAAGACCAGTCCATGCTTTCTGTCCAGTACACCGATCGTTAGCCCCAGTCTCCCAGATATGACATTGTCCTTTTTGAAAATATATATATTTTACAAAATCAAGATCAATAAAATCCAAAAAGGGTATAAATCAGTTTTTAATTCCTAGAACTGAGACAATTTGTCCCATCAATGGTCATACTAATGTTCAGGCGAGAACGGGGCCCGTTACCATGACAATAATAACATGGCCTGGTGTCTGTAGTACAGCAAGTTGTTGCCTTTCTGATCAAACTGGTGATGATCCTGAAGTGTTGAGGCTGTATCCATAACAACTGCTCTTGGTGTATAGTCCACAGATGTAGCAGTCCGAAGCACATAATTTACTATGCAGTTGCTTCCCTTAGGGGTTCTAGGATCCGGTACCCATACTTTTACATACAATGAAAAGTGGGATTTCCTCCCAGTAGAATAAGACACAGCAACCTTCTTTCTGCAGTTGCTTCCCTTAGCTGTGTCAGGGTAAAGATGCAGTCTAAGTAACCTTAGGCTCAGTATTATTCGTTACAGACAGACAGGTATATTCGGTAAATTAGGCCCAAGGCCCATAATACAAGGCAAAAGTAAATACATACTGAGTAAAGCTAAGTAAAGTTTAGTATTAATTTGTTTTACAGTTATTCATTCCTTCTACGGCGGACTTGTGAAAGATATTTACTCAATGATTTTAAAATATGTATTTTGTCCGATGACATCAGTCGGTTGAAGGTTTCAATTGTCGGTGGTTGAGTCAGATGTATTGAAAAACAATCAGATCTTTTTTGGGAATATTTTGGACATATTAATAAAATATGGAGTTCATCTTCGATGTAATCAAGGCCAGCAGCATGACAAAAGAGGCAGAGACGTTCATTATACGGGGTGTTTGTATGATGGCCACATTCCACTGCGAGTCTGAAGTTACAGCACCCGAAACTGAGTTATTCGTTACACTGCTATACTGAGTCTAACAAACCCTAGTAGAAGGTCGCGTCAGCTACCCTTTTGGACTGACCAATCAGAACACAGCTTACAAAATCGTGAAAGTTATCATTCACACATGCCGTTTGAACCATTCCCCACGATAACCGCTTCCGTGGTGTAGTGGTTAGAGCGTCCGCCCGGAGAGCGGAAGGTCGTGGATTCGATCCCCGACCGCGTCATACCAAAAGACGTTAAAATATGATACTTGTTGGTACCTGCCTGGCCCTCGGCATTAATGGGTACAACAAGGACTGGTCGGCTCGGGAGTCAGTATAATGTGTCTGAGTGGGGTATTCATGCTTCACTGCAGCATGGTATCTCAGTGGGCTAGCACAATAGAACCAGCTTAAGTCTGGGCTAGTACAAGCAGCCACACATACACATACACACGCATGCACGTCGTCATATGAGCGAAATATTCTCAAGCACGACATAAAACCCAATTTCACCTCGCTTCAGAGGGATACATGCAATGAGTAAATAGTTGCTGAAAATAGAGTTTTTGTCAATATTCAAGGATGTCATCTTGCAGAAATGTAAGCTAATAGTAACCATGTAATTCTGCCAACAAAAGGAAAAGATTCAGCCTTGCTTTGCATTTTGGGCAAAAATGCTTGTAAAAAGTAGCTCTTCACGCAAAAACTAGAAGTCGCTCCATAAGGGAGATAATTGCAAAAATACGAAATTTTTCCTTCAGCATTTCCATAAATCCAACATTTTGAAATCCTGTGGTAACATTATTAATCATTCTAAGATGCCTAGTGGTTAGAACAATCGAAAAAAAAATACATTATCAGACAATAAAGGTATAGTTTTTTGATGACGTAACAATTGAATGACGTTTTCCCGTCACTGCGCCATTCTAGTGTGCCCCCTCGTAATCGAACCATTTTACATTATGTCACAATGTAAGCGACGTCACAATGCATGTCAGTTGTCATCGCCTCGTACGGCCTCCTACAGTAAACTACACCGTTGCATCCAGCTTCTTGGTTTGCTGTTGCTTCACGCAGCTAACATCACTGGTGGAAACATTACGTTTATGTTTTACGACGGTTAAAATGTGTCATTTCGACTCACATGTTTTCAACGACACGTAACGTTAAGTAATGTTTACATTCCCACAATGCAATTATGGAATGTCGCTTGACTACTCAACTTCTTCTGGATGTACTGATCTAAACTTACGCTGGTAGTAGAAATGCAACGTTCATATTGCCCCATATGGTTTACGTTAATGACAGATGTAATTAAAATAATTCAGAGAAGATATTTAATCCGAACGTAAACCGTCATCAAACTGTTATCATTTGTTTTTTTCTGGTAACGTTTGTCTTAACATAGGGGGCAGACACATCAATAGAACAGCGCGCCAGTTAGCCCTGTGAGAGGATTCTTAATTTAGGTCACCGACACCGTCGTTTGTTTTCTGCCTTAAATTAATCGTAATTATCTTTAGAAAGTATTAAATTTGGCACTTTAGAAAAGAAATACAGTTAAGCCCTACCACCATGTATAGTGTAATAAAACACACTTTAAGCCCTGAACTATTATAGCGTTAAAGCACTCGGACGCAAGCGTCTTTGTGCTTTAACTATAATAGTTCAGGGCAAAAGTGTGTTTTATTACACTATACATGGTGGTAGAGCGAAGTGTATTTCTTAAATATATTGTAAAATGAGTTCATTGTATGGATGGAGAATGATAAATAAAACCCTTTTTAAAAATTTTGAATTTTGCACTCATTGACCTTTGAACCCAATTTGTGACCTAATTAGGCATTTTTGACCTTAACCAACAAAAGATTCGTATTCAGCACGAAAAACTACCCCAGAAAATGTTGTTTGCTTGCTTTATCTCAAAAATGCCTCATGCATCCTTAAAATCCACATTTCTTAGAAATTTGACTAGACTAGGGGTAGCCTAGTGGTTAAAGCGTTCTCTCGTCACACGGAAGACCTGGGTATGATTCCCCACATTGGTACAATATGTGAAGCCCATTTATGATGTCCCCCACTGTGATATTGCTGAAATATTGCTAAAAGCGACGTAAAACCAAACTCACTCTCTCACTCACTCATTCACGTTCACTCACTCACACACTGTCTCCCTCACTCACGTGCCATCCATTATGCAGGTGAGCAAGAGTTGGCGCAGCCTGGCCGATGATGAGCTACTGTGGTGCCAGATATGCCACCAGATGGGATACAACCAGGAAGTATGTGCCCTGGAGAAAACCAACTGGAAGAATGTGGTCCGGAGTCATGTCCAACAGCGCCACACTCTCATCACAAACTGGAAAGTAAGTTCAGTAATCAGCTGTCGTTTAGCCTACCTGACCTCCACTCAGGTGATTAACTAAGGCCACGAAGTCTAGAGAAGCCCCTCTAGAGACACACATGATGAAACAGATGTTTGTTTTAGTAGTCAGCTTATAGCTTGTGTTATTGAAGAGATAAACCAATTTGATAAACTTGTGACTTGTTCTCTCTTCTGTTAATCCCATTGGCTGTATTATTATACCCCGCCACGAAGTGAGGGAGATATAGGTTTGAAACCGTTATAGATAGGGAAACCAAATGTGGTAACTATTTTCAGGACACAAATGCCTTGATGGAGTTTTAAGATGGAAACTGGGCTACGATTCTTCACAGAGTTATGGCCCTTGTCATGCGTTTCTTGACTTGGTGCACATTATCCCAAACAGGAACAGATTTTCCCAGTAACAGTTATAGATAGGGAAACCATATTTAGTATGTATTTTCAGGACATGAATGTTGTGGTGGAGTTTAAAAGCAGGAACCAAACAGGAACAGAACACTTAATGTTCTTATCACTGTAAATATGATGTTTATATTTTAGTGGATGCTTGTATAACATACAACTCAAGTATTTACATGGACATGAAAATGTTTAAAGGTCAAGGTCAAGGCCTCATGAACGTGTTTCATAATATGTCAAGTGTCTTGTACAGTATTTTAATAAAACTTAAAATGTACACTCACAAATTGTGCTTTAATAATCCTTACACACAGAGACATTATCACAGTATGTTATATATGCAGCTTACTTCCTGTTTTACAGTTATTGTAGGGGCGGTGGGGTAGCCTAGTGGTTAAAGCGTCCGCCCGTCACGCTAATGACCCGGGTTCGATTCCCCACATGGGTACAATGTGTGAAGCCCATTTCTGGTGTCCGCCGCAGTGACAAAAAGCGGCGTAAAACTAAACTCACTCACTACAGTTATTATATTTTGTCAGTTTTCGCACGTTCTTTACAGATGTAATATTCTCCTGTAATATTTCAGTGTACAGGTGGGTGCAGTGTCAGTATATTGCAGTGTGGAGACACAGCATCCAAATGATGGACTGACTATCAACAGAACTGAGAACATATACCACCTGTGTTTCTGAATGAATGTTGAATGAAAACAAATCCAAATTTCAAACAGAAACAGTGAAACTAGAGCATAATTATGTGATATAACCCAACGTGCAGTATATCAGCGTACCGGAACCTGTTGTCAGTGTGTTCAAATATCAAACAGAAACAGTGAAACTAGAGCATAATTATGTGATATAACCCAACATGTGCAGTATATCAGCGTACCGGAACCTGTTGGTCAGTGTGTACAAATATCTGAACATATTTCCGAAGTACAAGATGGAGAGCCAGGGTAGATTGTGAGAGGTTAAGATGTTGTTAATTACTATATTATAATTTCGTACTTTGAAGTTTACACAGATTCCCGAACGTTGGTTGGTTGAGAGAGCGGTCATGTGATCTAAATTTCAAGGTTCATTTCCCTTGAACCCTTCAAATCGCTCATTCATGTGTGTGAACGTTTTCGAGCCGATCTGGGTCATGTGAACTTTTGCCGGAACTACGTTCCGGGTTTTCCCCAGGATACTCGCTGTCCAGCTTGATGTAAACAAAATAAATCATTTGCATTCACACTCCTTTTAATTTATACATATCTCTTACTTGTTTTTATATGTAACAAAAAGCACCAACTGAGCACAGTTTTGCAAAAATTTGACCGACAACGCGTCCGACAACAAGTCCCAGCCAGTGCGACCTAATTTTCAAATTTCCGCTACGGTTTCAAGGAACCCCAATGATCTTGCTGCATTTGGTGATGACAATTTAGGGAGCGATCCTGTTTCAAGTCACCCCAATTTTGGAAATGTCGCTTCTTCACGACCAAACAGATTTCCAATTGCTGAGCATTGTTCCTTATCACAAGAGTTTAATCTCTTGCGGTTTGCGGGTTCTGCACCCTGATCTGTTTGAAAACTGCTCATTAAATTTCACAATAAACAATCACATATAAATAGAATACACCAACGAGATCTGCTTCCTATTCGCCACGCAGCACAACTTCGAAGTCGGTCAGTGTATTATTACGCGGTCAAACGAATCCGTCATAGTTTTATAGGTACAATGACAGTTTGTTAAAATGATATTGTTATTGATATTTGTTTCTGTTTGATAATTTTATTGATGTTATGTTTATTAAAGCAGTTTCAAAACTATTGACAAATTTGTTGTAATATGTTAAGGAATACTTTGAGAACTATTTCTTCAAGGGTTGGGATACATTTTTAAAAAAATCGCCAAGTATACAAACATCGCTACAATACGCTCTTGAACAGAATGATATTACATCATTTTACAGGTATTAAAACACATCACTGTAAACAATGATCATGTAGAAGTGGGTAAAAAACGTATGTGTAAACATCAAAGTGCGAAATTATAAGAATTGAATGTCACTTTGTGTGTTTGCACTGAAAAATGAACGATGTCAAAGCATTGTTCAAACTCTCGTGTGAACTCGCTCGTTCACACGAGCTTGAACAACGCTTTGACATCGTTCATTTTTCAGTGCAAACACACAAAGTGACATTCAATTCTTAAATGTTTGAACATTATTAATCACACGTTCAGTTTTATCTATAAACTTAACACACTTACTCAGAAACACCAACAAGTAAACTGATATGTCGTGACTAAATACATGTTGTGTGGAAACCGTTAGTGTCCTTTGTGTATTGCAGGGTCGACTAGGCAAGTTGTATCAACTCCAGCATCCACAGGGAGGTGTGATGTGTGCCACCCACTCCTCCGACTCCATCGTTACCGCAGGGTGAGATCCGCCACAGTCTTTGTTCATATCTTTTCCATCCATTAGACACACTTTCTGACAGGGCTCGTACAGCTTGAATTTTAGTGTCAGCCTTGAAAAGCTTTGAAATTGGCAGTGGGATAGCCTAGTGCTTAAAGTGTTCACTCGTCCGGACAAGGACCCGGGTTTGAATCCCATCTTGGATCCAATGTGTTAAGCCCATTTTTGTGTTACCGACTGTGATATTGCTGGAATATTGCTGAAAGCAGCATAGAACCATAATCACTCACTCAATCACCAAAAATATATCTATTTCGAGTATTTGTTATGTTTGTTGTGGGGTTTTTTTCAGGTATTTAGACTAATAGATTGTATGTGGGATGTATGAATATATTAACAGACTAAGGCTAACAACCCATCTAAAAAGCCATGAAAATGACATTTGAAAGTTTTGAAAAGCCTTGAATTTTCTTGTTTCCAGCCAGTATGAACCTTGTTTGAGTAATAAGGATACCTGTGTATTACAGCTGCCAGCAACAGGGAAGATGTGTGACACATGCAGTGTGGTCACCTGTGTAGTGTGGCCACCTCTGTAGTGTGACCACCTGCGTAATGTAGCCACCTTTGTAGTTCGGCCACCTGTGTAGTGTGGCCATCTCTGTAGTGTGACCACCTGTGTAGTCTGGCCACCTCTGTAGTGTGACCACCTGTGTAGTGTGGCCACCTCTGTAGTGTGGCCACCTGCGTAATGTAGCCACCTTTGTAGTGTGGCTACCTGTGTAGTGTGGCCACCTGTGTAGTGTAGCCACCTGTGTAATGTAGCCATCTCTGTAGTTTGACCACCTGTGTAATGTGGCCACCTGTGTAGTGTGGTCACCTGTGTAATGTAGCCACCTCTGTAGTTTGACCATCTGTGTAGTGTGGTCACCTGTGTAGTGTGGCCACCTTTGTAGTGTGGCCACCTGTGTAGTATGGTCATCTCTGTAGTGTGACCACCTGTGTAATGTAGCTACCAGTGTAGTGTGGTCACCTGTGTATTGTGGCCACCTGTGTAGTGTGGCCATTCTGTAGTGTGACCACCTGTGTAGTGTGACCACCTGTGTAATGTAGCCATCTCTGTAGTTTGACCACCTGTGTAGTGTGGTCACCTGTGTAGTATAGCCACCTGTATAGTGTGACCACCTGTGTACTGTAAACACCTGTGTAGTGTGGTCACCAGTGTAGTGTAGCCACCTCTGTAGTTTGACCACCTGTGTAGTGTGGTCACTTGTGTAGTATAGCCACCTGTATAGTGTGACAACCTTTGTAATGTAGCCACCTGTGTAGTGTGGTCACCAGTGTAGTGTGACCACTTGTGTAATGTAGCCACCTGTGTAGTCTGACCACCTGTGTAATGTAGCCACCTGTTTAGTGTGACCACCTCTGTAGTGTGACTACCTGTGTAGTGTGGTCACCTGTGTAGAATGGCCACCTCTGTAGTATGGTAACCTGTGTTATGATAATAATAATATGTCATCTTCTATAGCGCACAGTCTCCAAACACCAAGTGATTGCTCGTGGTGCTTAATCAGAATGTGATTCTTATTACGGATAACCCAAGCTGCCTGTTAGACGCTGGAAGGTTATAGTCACATGACTTTATCCAACCGGGTACCCATTTTCTGCAGGGTGAACAGAGGCAATTTGGAACAAACGTGTTTCGTTGTGGGGCAGGACTGAAGTCCTAAAAACTCTCAGGAGTCAAGCTGCCAAACACGGTCACCCACCCAGGGAATGTCCGAGCTCGACGTTGCATAACTTCAACTGATTTGTGACCTGAGCTCTGTGCCCAGGACCACACGCCGCCACCTGTGTAGTGTGGCCACCTGTGTAGTGTGGCCACCTGTGTAATGTAGCCACCTGTGTAGTGTGACCACTTGTGTAATGTAGCGACCTGTGTAGTGTGGCCACCTGTGTAATGTAGCCACCTGTGTAATATTGACACCAATGTGTTCCAGATACAGCAACGGTGAGGTGAAGATGTGGGACCTGAGTAATGGGGACACCTGTGTATTCCAACCTAGCAGTACAGCACTGAGGATTGATGAGCGGCAGGATGAGGGAACGGTGCCGAACTATGTCCTCCACGTACAAACATCCTCACAATATACAGTGGCCAGCTACAAACACCGTAAGTAAAATGTTATATGTGAAATCAGTAATATTTTTGTAATGAGATATTTGTTATTTATGTGACTAAGGGCTGGTGGATATATCTGATATATTATCTGACTAAGGGCTGGTGGATATATCTGATATTTATCTGACTAACATCCTCGATAATCTCCAGGGTATACGTTACGATCACTCTCCACTATACTCTGGATGCATCCACGGCTTGGCCTGATAATTATATTACCTCCCTTGGTTGGCTTCGCATTCTCACAGTAGCCAATCAGCTAAGCCGCCGTTACATCCAAGCTTGCCAGTGTCAACAAAGATAGCGGTCGCAGTCGCGAAGGTTTGTTCGCAGTACCACTCAGATTTTTGGAGAAATAATACAGACAAATTGACAGATCTGAAACTTTCCAAAAAAATTAAAAGAACTCCTTCCACATCTTTCAGAATACCCTCTGCATCAATTGTGTTTAAAGTTTAAACGGTTAGATAATAGAAGCGAAAGTGAGTTGTGATTGGTTCGCTCAACTTTCCAACGTAGACACCTGATTGGATAAAAAGCCAACCAAGGGAGGTAATAAAATCATCGGGCCAAGCCGTTGATGCATCCAGGGTATAGTGGAGAGTGATCAATGTATACCCTGGAGATTATCGAGGATGTCACTAAGGGCTGGTGGATATATCTTATATTTATCTGACTAAGGGCTACTAGATGTATCTTATATTTATCTGACTAAGGGCTACTAGATGTATCTTATATTATTCTGACTAAGGGCTACTAGATGTATCTTATATTTATCAGACTAAGGGCTACTAGATGTATCTTATATTTATCTGACTGAGGGCTACTAGATGTATCTTATATTTATCTGACTGAGGGCTACTAGATGTATCTTATATTTATCTGACTAAGGGCTACTAGATGTATCTTATATTTATCTGACTAAGGGCTACTAGATGTATCTTATATTTTTCTGACTAAGGGCTGGTGGATATATCTGCTATTTATCTGACTAACATCCTCGATAATCTCCAGGGTTACGTTACGATCACTCTCCACTATATTTAAATGTGATCTAGGAATGGTGGACGTGTGGCAGAATGACCAAGGAGTGAGTCCTGTCAGCTCCTTCCAGTGTGAAGGTGGATGGGACATATCGGCTCTCAAGCTAGCACAGTTGTCTCCTCTGTTTGCCCTTGTCCAGGGCTACTACGTGCGTGTGTACAGATCTGATAACAACCCAGAGTTCTCTATGATTGATAAACTGGACCTCAGCAAGATGGTAAGTAGCAAAGGGTCTAAAACCACACATTAATGTTTATCCACAAAGCACACATTTATAAAATGGACGCGTAAAAATATAGTGTCACCATTTTACAAAACACAGTAATATTTACTGCACTATTACATATAAAAGGTCCCACAGCAGGTTTAACCCAATAACTTGCATTAGGGTAGCCTAGTGGTTAAAGGGTTCACTCGTCACACTGAAGCACCTAGATGTTCGATACCCAGCAGTGTTACTGCTTGGTCGGGGTAGGGTAGCCTAATGGTTAAAGGGTTCACTCGTCACACCGAAGCACCTAGATGTTCAATACCCAACAGTGTTACTGCTTGGTCGGGGTAGGGTAGCCTAATGGTTAAAGGGTTCACTCGTCACACCGAAGCACCTAGATGTTCAATACCCAACAGTGTTACTGCTTGGTCGGGGTAGGGTAGCCTAGTGGTTAAAGGGTTCACTCGTCACACTGAAGCACCTAGATGTTCGATAACCAGCAGTGTTACTGCTTGGTCGGGGTAGGGTAGCCTAGTGGTTAAAGGGTTCACTCGTCACACCGCAGCACCTAGATGTTCAATACCCAACAGTGTTACTGCTTGGTCGGGGTAGGGTAGCCGTTATGCCGAAGACACAGGTTCGATTCCCTACATGGGTAGAATGTGTGAAGCCCATTTCTGGGGTCCCCGCCGGTGATATTGCTGGAATATTGCTAAAAGCGGCGTGAAACCATGGTCACTCACTCTCAGTTTGAACCTTCTCTGCAGGTGTGTCACATCCAATGGCTGGAGCCGACCACCCTGCAGTACAACCCGGACTACGCCCTCGCCATCGCCACCCACAACATCATCAGCCTGTACCGACCAGGGATGGAGCAACGCAGTGAGATCCACAACATGATCGACAGCCCCATCTCATGCCTCGACATGTGCAGCGACCACGGTCAGATGGGTGTTGGGTGTGGCATGTACGGGCCCACAGAGGGACATAAGGTATAGCTGATAGGATAGCATCTCTCTGTAGGTAGGGGGTGGTGGGGTACGGGCCCACAGAGGGACATAAGGTATAGCTGATAGCATAGCATCTCTCTGTAGGTAGGTGGTGGTGGGGTACGGGCCCACAGAGGGACATAAGGTATAGCTGATAGGATAGCATCTCTCTGTAGGTAGAGGGTGGTGGGGTACGGGCCAACTGAGGGACATAAGGTATAGCTGATAGGATAAGATCTCTCTGTAGGTAGGGGGTGGTGGAGTAGGGGCCCACTGAGAGACATAAGGTATAGCTGATAGGATAACATGTCTCTGTAGGTAGGGGGTGGTGGGTACAGGCCCACTGAGGGACATAAGGTATAGCTGATAGGATAACATCTCTGTAGGTAGGGGGTGGTGGGGTACGGGCCCACTGAGGGACATAAGGTATAGCTGCTAGGATAAGATCTCTCTGTAGGTAGGGGGTGGTTGGGTACGGGCCCACTGAGGGACATAAGGCATAGCTGATAGGATAACATCTGTGTAGGTAGGGGGTGGTGGGGTACGGGTCCACTGAGGGACATAAGGTATAGCTGATAGGATAAGATCTCCCTGTAGGTAGGGGGTGGTGGGGTACGGGCCCACTGAGGGACATAAGGTATAGCTGATAGGATAACATCTCTCTGTAGGTAGGGGGTGCTGGGATAGCCTAGTGTTAAAGCTTACCAAAGATTTAGTTTGCATTGTCAGTTGTCTGTTCCTCTTGTGCATTTTCAAAATCTTCTCTAAACCACTCGTGTTGTAGGTTCACCTGTATAACCTTGCCACCGCACAGCTCCTGAACTCCCTACAGGGTCACACGTGGATGGTAACGTGCCTCAACATGGCCGACAGCCCCGCCCACCACCTCATCACAGGCTGCGGAGACCGCAAGTAAGGGGAAACATACAAAGACAGCGGTGAACACTGAATGGAAACAGACTGTTGATAAAGTAGAAATAAGACATGGACAAGTATATAAATATGTCTGGTTTGATATTTGATTATCCACTTTCACTTGACATCTTTTATCTAATTGGATAATTACTTATCCACTCCGCCCAGTTCTTAAGTATTCATTCAATAGTTAATTTTGTGAACAATAGAAAGTATCGGAGCAATAATGGAATGTAAGGCATTTCTCAAACAGTTACCCTTGTTGGCAAGTTAAGGCAGAAGCAGATACCTCTGATCCCATGCTTGTCCTTGGAGGCAAGATCTGCAGAATGTCCATGGTGTGTCTGGGATTGACATGATTATGCCAAAGCTGTTGTGATATGACCAGAATATTGCTGACAGCAGCATATCCATTCCCTCCTCTTCTTGCATGATACATAATGCATGTATTTTGGACTGTCCAGTAGCCCTGTGATACTGATGTTGTCTAACCTACTTCAGAGTCCGCATTTATGACACCCGACAGTCTACATGGCCAGCGAAGACGCTACTGGGGCATTCTGGGAAAATAACATGCGTCCAGATGGATGAGTGGAAGGTGGTGTCGGGGGACGAGGGAGGATTTGTCCGGGTCTGGGATCAAAGGATGAGAACCAAACTCTGGGAGTGGCACAATAGGTAGGTCACTTATACACATATACATATGTTGTGAAATACGTGGTACATTCTTAATTGTCACTTATACATGGGTCATATGTTGGGAAAAGGTGGAATATTCTTCTGTATATGGTCACAGTATCAGAAACAAGAATGGTTGTGATTGTCAGATCCATCTATACTTGGCAGCAGGACATAGAGCCGTAAAACTGTTTATGATCAAAGAGAGGTGACTTCACAAAATGCAGTTCCAGAAAACCAGACCGCAGCATGTTTTTTTAAAATGTATGCTTATTAAAACACTTGTTGAGATTTTAGAGATGAACACTTATACATGTTCAGAAACTAAGACATATGTTTAAGCTTGTTAGTGACTCCTACCAATGCAGCATTGTGTGTCTGTCGATACACAAGCACCTGTCTGTTCCAGGAATCCGGTCTCCTATATACACTTCAGTGAAGGTCGCCTCATTGTCGGCAATATTCCCTACGACAAGTTCCCTGTGGACGACCAACTGGACAGAATTTCCCAGCCAAAGTATGTAGTTGACGTGCTACTTGTGAAGTTATGTTTAAGCTTTAAACCCGTGAAGGTCCGGGTTAGGATCGCTGACTTGGTTGACTCATGTCACCGGTTCCCAATTGTGCAGATTGATGCTCATGCTGTTGATCACTGGATTGTCTGGTCCAGACCGCCGCCATATAGCTGGAATATTGCTGAGTGTGGTGTAAAACTAAACTCTCTCACTTTAAGCTATAAATAATTATTGATCCCTGACAATTGTTAGTAAGACTGGTTCCCCAGCAGCCAATGCTCTTCATCCGAGGCAACTTCCTGGTTCAGGTGGTCAGGTTCAAAGACATGGATGCTTGTATGTAATGTATCCCTACTTCCTGGTTCAGGTGGTCAGGTTCAAAGACATGGATGGTTGTATGTAATTTATCCCAACTTCCTGGTTCAGGTGGTCAGGCTCAAACACATGGATGCTTGTATGTAATGTATCCCTACTTCCTGGTTCAGGTGGTCAGGTTCAAACACATGGATGCTTGTATGTAATGTATCCCTACTTCCTGGTTCAGGTGGTCAGGTTCAAAGACATGGATGGTTGTATGTAATTTATCCCAACTTCCTGGTTCAGGTGGTCAGGCTCAAACACATGGATGCTTGTATGTAATGTATCCCTACTTCCTGGTTCAGGTGGTCAGGTTCAAAGACATGGATGGTTGTATGTAATGTATCCCTACTTCCTGGTTCAGGTGGTCAGGCTCAAACACATGGATGCTTGTATGTAATTTATCCCAACTTCCTGGTTCAGGTGGTCAGGTTCAAACACATGGATGCTTGTATGTAATGTATCCCTACTTCCTGGTTCAGGTGGTCAGGTTCAAAGACATGGATGGTTGTATGTAATTTATCCCAACTTCCTGGTTCAGGTGGTCAGGCTCAAACACATGGATGCTTGTATGTAATGTATCCCTACTTCCTGGTTCAGGTGGTCAGGTTCAAACACATGGATGGTTGTATGTAATGTATCCCTACTTCCTGGTTCAGGTGGTCAGGCTCAAACACATGGATGCTTGTATGTAATTTATCCCTACTTCCTGGTTCAGGTGGTCAGGTTCAAACACAAGGATGGTTGTATGTAATATATCCCAACTTCCTGGTTCAGGTAGTCAGGTTCAAACACAAGGATGGTTGTATGTAATATATCCCAACTTCCTGGTTCAGGTGGTCAGGTTCAAACACATGGATGGTTGTATGTAATATATCCCAACTTCCTGGTTCAGGTGGTCAGGTTCAAACACATGGATGGTTGTATGTAATATATCCCAACTTCCTGGTTCAGGTGGTCAGGTTCAAACACAAGGATGGTTGTATGTAATATATCCCAACTTCCTGGTTCAGGTGGTCAGGTTCAAACACATGGATGGTTGTATGTAATTTATCCCAACTTCCTGGTTCAGGTGGTCAGGTTCAAACACATGGATGGTTGTATGCAATTTATCCCTACTTCCTGGTTCAGGTGGTCAGGTTCAAAGACATGGATGGTTGTATGCAATTTATCCCAACTTCCTGGTTCAGGTGGTCAGGCTCAAACACATGGATGCTTGTATGTAATGTATCCCTACTTCCTGGTTCAGGTGGTCAGGTTCAAAGACATGGATGCTTGTATGTAATTTATCCCAACTTCCTGGTTCAGGTGGTCAGGCTCAAACACATGGATGGTTGTATGTAATTTATCCCAACTTCAGTGTAGGAAAGATGTAGAAAATCTAGCCTGTCCACAGGACTGGCAGGTCAAATTTTTTACCAGTCCTGCCAAAATCTAGCCTGTCCTCCAAATATAAATAAAACACCTTTGGCAGTAAATATTCAAAAAGGTTATAATCATTATATATATGTCATTGGTTTGCTAAAATTGACCCGACATGAGGACCGACTAGATATTTTTTTAAACCGTCCTCCACAAAATTTTACCCGTCTCGGACGTTGGGACGGGCTATCTTTCCTACACTGCCAACTTCCTGGTTCAGGTGGTCAGGTTCAAACACATGGATGCTTGTATGTAATTTATCCCAACTTCCTGGTTCAGGTGGTCAGACTCAAACACATGGATGCTTGTATGTAATTTATCCCAACTTCCTGGTTCAGGTGGTCAGGTTCAAACACATGGATGGTTGTATGTAATTTATCCCAACTTCCTGGTTCAGGTGGTCAGGTTCAAACACATGGATGGTTGTATGTAATGTATCCCAACTTCCTGGTTCAGGTGGTCAGGTTCAAACACATGGATGGTTGTATGTAATTTATCCCAACTTCCTGGTTCAGGTAGTCAGACTCAAACACATGGATGCTTGTATGTAATTTATCCCAACTTCCTGGTTCAGGTGGTCAGGTTCAAACACATGGATGGTTGTATGTAATGTATCCCAACTTCCTGGTTCAGGTGGTCAGGTTCAAACACATGGATGCTTGTATGTAATTTATCCCTACTTCCTGGTTCAGGTGGTCAGACTCAAACACATGGATGCTTGTATGTAATTTATCCCAACTTCCTGGTTCAGGTGGTCAGGTTCAAACACATGGATGGTTGTATGTAATTTATCCCAACTTCCTGGTTCAGGTGGTCAGGCTCAAACACATGGATGGTTGTATGTAATTTATCCCAACTTCCTGGTTCAGGTGGTCAGGTTCAAACACATGGATGGTTGTATGTAATTTATCCCAACTTCCTGGTTCAGGTGGTCAGGCTCAAACACATGGATGCTTGTATGTAATTTATCCCAGCTGCCTGGATCGATTCTAATGATGTCAATCACTGAATAATCTGGCTCAGACTTGATAATTTGCAGGTATATTACTATATGACAGCTCTCATATGGTTGGTATACTATTGACTTCAACAAGAAACAAACTAAACTATCACACATAAGATGGAAGATCATTTGAAAATAAGGATCAAACCAAATGACATTAAGCACAAATTCTTATCAATGAATTTAAGACAAATTTGGTACCTTCCACCATCTTTGTCTGTCATCGAAACACTTGGGACGTAACCTGAACTACTTGCATTGTTAGCACCTGATTCTGTTTAATTGTGACCTCTTGTTGAAGTGTTGTAATAAATCTTGGAACAATGTCATGGTATAGTTAGCCATTTTACACCAGACAGAAAGTGTGATGACTGCACTGCTTTGTTTCCAGGTTCCGAGGATCGTTACAGGTGTATGACTTCTCTGCTGACCAGACGACTCAGGGACTGCCCGAGATCTGCCACTCCTCGTATGACCAGCCTGAAACCTACAACTACAACATCCGCCTGGCTGTGCCCTACGATACTATATGAACTGTGTGGGAATGTATATACAACATATCGACAAGTACAACATCTGCCTGGCTGTGCCCTATGATTCTATATGAACTGCTGTGTGGGACTATATATAAAACATATTAACAAGTACAACATCCGCCTGGCTGTGCCCTGTGATTCTATATGAACTGCTGTGTGGGACTATATATAAAACATATTGACAAGTACAACATCCGCCTGGCTGTGCCCTACGATTCTATATGAACTGCTGTGTGGGAATATATAAAACATATTGACAAGTACAACATCCGCCTGGCTGTGCTGTATGATTCAATATGAACTACTGAGTTTATACTCCGTAACAAGCACATGAGCTTGGCAGTGCTGTACAAGTCGAAATGCCCTACTCTGTCAACCAGCAGGGCACCTATCTTCAGTATATACACTGCTGTTTTATACAACTTTATATAAGTGTGTCTGCGTGTGAGTATGTGCATGTGTGTGAATACAAGGCAAACTACGATTCACTCACATGTTCAAAGAATCAAACTGCATCCCTTATGAACTCTATTCGTCATTCACGATTACCTGTATTTAATGTTCAGGAATTTGTTTTACAAGAGTTTTTTAACTTTGGGATAGCCCTAGTGAATACAGTATGTTCTACACTGTACAAATTTAGAGATGTGTATTTTGTATCTCTTTTTATTCTCTTAAATGATTTTTGTTATTGTTATTATGGCCCCTGACTCATGAGTGACAGATGTGACCAGGTGCCAACCAACTAGTACCAGGATTCCACCAGATTACACAATCATACTCACGAACACACCTGGAGATGGTCAGGTGTGAAGGTTATGTTTTAAATAATATTTTAGCAACAGCAAGTATTTTGTTGTATGTCCACGATTTTAGCATGTATGTAGTTTATAAAACAGTGGGAGAGACCACAGTATCAAGGTTAGGGCCTGTCACTGGCAGTGTTTGTGAGAGTGTGTGTGTGTTAAACCCAGGAGCCTATAGTCTCCTACTGACTTCTTGGATAGATAGTCTACCTGAGACGAGACTACAAGGATGTACATACTGCTGTTGAAACTGTATTATACTGTACAATAAATGTCTACATGTATCAGCTGCGTGTGTCATCTATAGAGAACATTTGGTGCTATACTTCAAGCACTGACTTCATGTTCTAGCTGTATAGAGTTGCCTCCCTTAGAGGCGTGACCTGCTGTGTTCCCACCCAAACTATAGTCCTCAGGGTACCCACACAGGTGATGATGGGTTGACCCAACTGTTTTACCACTTGCATTCATTTGATGTCTTGTCACAGCAGACATGTTATACTACAGGATTTGTTAAAGCCGGATGACATCAGCACTTGGCTTCTACCCTGCTGTCTGACTCCCTGCTTGCACTCATCTTACTAAGTGTAATCCCAAATATGACATATGTTACATTCTGGAGGAGTTGTGCCTTTAATGTAAAAGTTTTCGAAAACGTCGCATCTTTAGTTCCAAGGCTACATTAGCAGTGTGGCTCTGATGTTTTACCCACATTTACAGTTGTAAGTGTGGTATTTGCATGGACAACCAAGTGTTCAGGTTCAGGGTGTGTTGGAAGCTTTTACCATCACCTACCAAAGTATACCATTCATGCTTTTTAATAGACGTCCATTTTTCAGTTTCATAATGTTGTCATGAGCACAAGGTTTTTCAACTGGTAGTCCGACCCTGACCTTACTGTACATCAACATGGCTAATCCTTTTGAATCCAATTTCTGGTGTCTCCCGCCATGATATTGCTGGAATATTGGTACAAGCGGTGTAAAACTAAACTCACTAATTCACTTTACTAATCCATACATGTTTTAGGAAATCCAGTGGGGAACAGGTCCCCAGCAGCGCTGCTGGTTGGGTGAGGTGATGAGTAGAACGTTTGGCGACTTGATTCTGGAAGACAGATGCTCATAACGTCAATCACTGGATTGTCTGGTCAACACACGATTATTTACCAAACGCCGCCATATAGACAATGTTGTTGAGCACCGCCTTAAACATCTAACAAATGAGAATAAAAGTTCTGGTGTTGATACGTTTAGTAAACCGACTCAGTCCTACCTCCCTGCAAGGCTCTTGAGAAAAGAATATAACAACGACCACTTAGTGATACTGGCCATTGGCGTAGTGGGCCGTGTTTCGTTTTCAACCAGCACACAGACGTTCGATACTACAGCACTGTTACTGCTTTGTCGCGGCGGTCGGGGTGGGGTAGTGGTTAGGCGTTTGTCACACCGAAGACCCGGTTCGATATACTACATGGTTATACTGCATGGTTATACTACATGGTTATACTGCATGGTTATACTACATGGTTATACTGCATGGTTATACTACATGGTTATACTGCATGGTTATACTACATGGTTTTACTGCATGGTTATACTACATGGTTATACTGCATGGTTATACTACATGGTTATACTGCATGGTGTGATCATGTAATGCATGCAGGCCCTGTACATACAGTTTGATTATATTCAGCGTTCTTGATATAAAGATTAATGATTATATCATGTTCAAATATATATGCAGTAGATCATATGTACACCGTAAGCCTCCAATATTGTTGCTGTTTGCATTCGTGGAGGGGACGTGGTTTGAGAGTGTTTTCTTCAAGAGTTGTTCACCCCTGGTTTCACGCGGCGGGCACCAGCAAGATCATTTGTGATCAAATAATGTACAGTTCCATGTAAGATCTAACTAACCTATAATTTTCGCAGCTGCTAAATACTGAGCGAGTTTTGTTTTACGCCGCACTCAGCAATATTCCAGCTATATGGCGGCTGTCTGTAACTAATCGAGTCTGGACCAGACAATCCAGTGATCAACATCATGAGCATCGATCTGTGTCAACCAAGTCAGTGAGCCTGACCACCCGATCCCGTTAGTCGCCTCTTGACAAGCATGACATACTGAAGATCAATCCTAACCCGGACATTCTTGGGTAAATAAATCTCGGTCGTGCCACTGGGGTAGCCTAATGGTTTTGGCATTCGTCGAAGACCCAGTTTCGATTCCCCACGTGTGTACAATGTGTTAAGCCCATTTCTGGTGTCCCCCGCCGTGATATTGCTGGAATATTGCTAAAAGCGGCAAAAAAACATATTCACTCACTCACTTTGTCGCGGCGGGTACAGTTCTACACGTAGGTACAGTTCTACACAATCAAAAAGGGCTTGTTTCACCAAACGATCGTAATTACAGTCCTAACAAGGACTTACGCCCTATCGTAATGCTAAGACAGGTTTGTGGAACGGGACCTTGGTTACAGGAAGAACACATGTACAACCTTTACTTCGGTCCTTAATACAAGCATGGACAATCGTAACATGTTCTGAACCAGAACATGAATGGGTCCTCGTTTACGTATGAAATATACCAGAGCTTTGAAGTAAACCTCTCAGACACTAAGAGAGATCAGTTTGATGTCCGCCTTTAGTTATATGGCTAGGATACTGCTTCAAGCGGCATAAAACAACATTAGCTGTCAGAGAAATGCAGGGGTACCATGGAGCTTTAAGGAAGTGCAAACTCTGTAACAGTGTTACAAAAACCGCCGCCTCCAGCATGTGTATTTAGCACCGACCAACACGGAGCCAATTAAAGTAGATTGGACATTGTGGAAGACGTTGAGAAGGTTTGAAGCTTCCTGTCAGTGCATTGCAGTACAAACTGTAGCCGCCACACTGTCGCCTCAGACCTCTAAAACCTCACTCCTTGTCTCTCTCCACCATCAGATAGGGATCGCTTCATCGACTAGCATCGATCTGCACACACTCGGACAAGACGCTGCATTGAGCTCCTTAATTCCTGTTTGGGGGAGAGAGAGCGATGGGAGCGTATTTCACTCAGCACATCGGCAGTATTCCAGCCACATCGTGACTAGAATAACGTGTACCTTTTACAGAATGCCTGGGTAACGAACACAGACGATGTTGTATAGACTAACACTTGATCTCTGAATATGTATTATTTTTTTAAAGTAACAAACAAACACATTTACATTGAAAAGGAGCCGTAGTGAGATGGGAGATTCACCCGAGGAAAGCTAGACTTGCAGCGAGACAGACTAGATGATGTACTGAACAAGATCATTATACAATAAATAACTCTAAAATGTTGTCTCCGAGAAACGTTATGTAAAGACTCAACAGCGAAGTTAAAATATCATAAAATGTTTAAACTGAAAGCCCAGGTCTATGTCGTTTACCACTTTGTCTGGAGCTGACAAAACAGCGCCATAATCAGTGTGATCTTCGGTTCCACCCGGAACATTCGACAACAACTGCGAAAACGGAATATCGAACACGATGAAGGATCACTTTGAAGTTCGCTCTGCGCATACACTCTCGACTCGTGAAACACTACTCGACAAATGATACGCTCAACTACTCGACTCGTGAAACACTCCACTACTCGGCACATGACACACTCCACTACTCGACACATGACACACACTCCACTACTCGACTCGTGAAACACTACTCGACACATGACACACTCCACTACTCGACTTGTGAAACACTACTCGACACATGACACACTCCACTACTCGACACATGACACACTCCACTACTCGACACATGAAACACTCCACTACTCGACACATGACGCACTCCACTACTCGACACATGACACACTCCACTACTCGACTCATGAAACACTCCACTACTCGACACATGACACACTCCACTACTCGACTCATGAAACACTCCACTACTCGACTCATGAAACACTCCACTACTCGACACATGACACACTCCACTACTCGACTCATGAAACGCTCCACTACTCGACACATGAAACACTCCACTACTCGACACATGAAACACTCCACTACTCGACACATGAAAGACTTGATAAAATATCGTCATTTTCAAACTGCACTACAATTGATTATTTATCATTTCAACATACTTCAATCAGTTTCCGGGATTATCTTTCAACTGTAATGAAAACACAACAGTTTGACTGTAAGAACCCCTATGGAGTACAGCTTTAATACGCCCCCTTCAGCCTAAAGCACACATCCTATACGCCAGCACTGCCCAATCACAGAGACATCAGATGGAATGATACAGGTGCCCCTTCTCTGTCTCCGCTCAGTGTAATCTCTCGTCCGCAGCAGAATGAGGAGGACGCTCGAGACCACCTGGCGCCACGGGACTACCTTCAGTCGGACACCAGAAACAACGCCTCCAAGTTTGAATATTCCACCCCGCGTTGTACATGGGACAAGACGTAAACTGTCCACACTCGCACGGCATACCTGGTGGCACTCGGCCGCCACAGAAGACCGGGTCACGGATACAGCTGGGTATATGGAATCTTGTATAGATTCCTATAGACACATCTGTAACGACTGTTTACGTGGCACCAGATGACGTAACTGTGATGAGTGGGTGTTCTTGGTCGAGGATTATCGTAAACCTGGCAAGTATTTACACACTACGGAATTCCATGGAATGTGAGCTTAATGGTGAAGAAGTAAAGAAATAATCTGTCTTTCCACAAGCTGGTAATAACGTTGCAACATGCTGGTTGAGACAGGAAATATTATCTGATGACACTGAAGACACTACAACATTCCTCTGAATACCGCCTTTGTGAAATCTATGGATACGTGACACCTGCTCTCAAGATCAGCTACATCTTCAGGTGACAGGTGCTCTCCAGATCGGCTCCAGATATATACATAGCTCCGTCGTCAGGTGACAGGTGCTCTCCAGATCGGCTCCAGATATATACATAGCTCCGTCGTCAGGTGACAGGTGATCTCCAGATCGGCTCTAGGTATACACACGGCTCCGTCGTCAGGCGACAGGTGATCTCCAGATCGGCTCCAGATATATACATAGCTCCGTCGTCAGGCGACAGGTGCTCTCCAGATCGGCTCTAGGTATACGCACGGTTCTGACGTCACGTGACAGGTGCTCTGTAGATTGGCTCCGTCGTCAGGTGACAGGTGCTCTCCAGATATACACACGACTCTGTCGTCACGTGACAGGTGCTCTCCATATCGGCTCCAGGTATACACACGGCTCTGACGTCACGTGACAGGTGCTCT